CTAAGCACTGTCCGGCACTTGGCCGGAAAGATCACATGATTTTGCACTGTCCCTATGCACTGTCCGTAGACTTCCCGTTAGCCAATCCACTATATAAATCACGTGTATTTATAGCCAATTCACATGATATAAAGGGCGAATAGTTAAATGATCAAGAAAAATTTTTCAAAAAAATATATTGCTATTTGACAATGTATTTTTTTGTAATTACATATTTGGATAAAAAGTTTTGCAGTTCAAAGTATTGGATGGCTTTAGACCGGGCGCACTATACATAAAGAGATCGGTATTTAACAAAACAACAGCAACAACAATTATCCATCTCTCGGGCGTGAAGAGGCTTTTTATGATCCTTCGTGTGTTGACTTTGCAGTAACTTTTGAAGTTTCAGAGAAGCACGTCGAATGATTACGTCTTCACCACAATCACCACCACATTTCACACTGCCATCCGAACAACAACAATTAGCATCAACACAAAAACAAATACGACCACTACCACAACTATCAATTCAATCGCAATCTCGATCGCAATCTCGATCGCTAGCACCACAACCACAAGTACAGCCTCAATCGCCATCGCTACTACAACGCGCTGCGTCTCTCCGTTCAAATCACAATATGATCGTATGGAATTTCTCAACTTCATTTAATAACGCAAAGCCTTTCGTAAGTTTTAATCTGACGATGGTGGATTTGCGAACATTTTGAATTATTTGGTAGGACTTACTAATGTAAATCATTCTTTCGAAGACGGAGATGAAGGAAGGATAATTCCGGCCGTGGGGATATTCTAACTGTGATCTCATGTTTTTTTTTTCAATTACTGGATCAATACTATGAGAACATGGTAATGTGGAGATTCAAATTAAAAAAGACAAATTATGGATATAATGGGATGTATCTCATCTTTCGGCAAAACAGAAGAAAAAACTTGCGCACTGATCAATCAAAATCGGTACAAACCAGAGAGTCATTTATGTGTCGAGGAAGATTGTCGCGATATCTGGACTATCAATTTGAAGAGCAAGTCTTGGTCTGAATATGCTTGATAATCTAGAGTGCAATTTAAAATAAAATCTCAAGTGAAATTCTATTTATGAATTGCGAATAGTCATAGTTTCACAATAAGATAGATTTCAATTCAACATACAATTCACATCTTCGGGATGATGTTTTGAAGGATTGACTTTAAGAATTAATATAGATTTAGAGTTAAGTTGAAGCACTTTTATACTGGGAAGACTTAGTTTACTTAACGACGCGTCGCAAAAATTATAATTTTTATCTCAGAATAACGTTCAGTTGAAAAGCTAACGAAGAGTATTTTCTATAGCTATTGATGAAGACTATGGTAATACTGAAGCATCATCGTTTGGTACTTCGGAAAGAGAAAGTATTGCCGTGCTCCGCAGTCATCACTAAATGTGTATAAGATTAGGGAGCGCAAAACATCAGATGATTCTTGGGGGTGGGATTGTTATCGATCATCAGGTTCTACAAAATTATGATAATTATGACTCATCTTGATCAGATGGGAGTGTCTAATAAATAAAGTTACCGGTTACCTGATACTTGGCGTCCCCTTAGGGCAGTGACATTTATTAGCTAATATTTTAATTGAGAAGTACAATAGCATTTTGATATATTAAGATAATATTAGCTAATATATGTGGGTGAGTCAATAGAAACAAAGCATATTATATATTTAATACATATCGATATATAATTTGCTTGATTTCTATCGACTCACCCCCATATGTCAGTACCCTTATCAAACTAGTTATTTTTCTCACGCGTAAGAGTTGTTTCCATTTTAGTAAAATGAAACGTGGTTGCAAGTAAAATCTCACGATCAATTTGTGACATGTGCGTTGGATGACTTATTGAAAAAAAGACGCGATACAATTTTCATTAAAAAAATGCTTGTAAATCTAAAAAAAATAAATTTTCTTATTACTTTGTTACGAATAAACGCGTCTAAAATAATATTTCAAATCAAATCTAGAACGTGTCTAAAATAATATTTCAAATAAAATCTAAACGTGTCTGTTATAACAAACAATGAGTATTTTATTTCTACCTTTTTCCCTTTTCTCTGGCGAATTTCTCGAGAAAATTCCTAAATTGAGAGAGGTTGCTGTTCAACTTTTGGAAGTGGTACACGTTAGTAGTAGACCAGTTCCTCGTGCTCTTGTTGGTGAGTTTTCGCGTCCGTGTGGTGGATATTTAAGAAAAAAAAGGGAACGAATTCAATACAAGTATTTTGGCTTAGACAGCTGGTTTAGAAACTATTAATGAATATTATATAAAACTATTTAAAAGCGCGAAGGCCTTGGCATATTAAAAAAGAACATCAAAGATATTGCATAGAAAGTGGAAGTAATAGTAAGTTTTGATATGCATATATTTCAGCAAGACAGAGATGATTCTATAATTAAAACCTATCTATCACATTATAGATAATATATTGTTTAAAGTAATTGAATCAACTCAATTTTATATCGCGAAAAAAAAACCGAGAAATTGTCGTCGCTATCATTCAGGAGTACACGTTTTGAATTGTCGATACTCGCGTATAGTATTTGGTTATCATCAAATAATCATTGATGACGATGATAATGTTATCGAGAATGACGATGGAACGTATTTACCTGGCTGCACACGACAACGCATATCGAATGTTTGCTTTTTTGTGAAAGTTGAACCAGTTTTCGGCGAATTTTTGAAGATTGGTTATCTGGAAACGAGTACATCTAAAAGACCGTGAGATATTTTATTTTGTTTTATTTATTTTAAAGGAAAATGCATTTATTTTTATTCCTGAATTCTTTAATAATCAATCTATTTAAAAGACCAACAAAACCGAGTCGAATTCCTATTCGTGTATGGAATTACAGTCACCCAAGGAGAAATGCTCAAACAGTTCGACCAATAGAAATTAACAATAAAAGGTAATTTGTTTTTATTTTGGGTAATTATTACTTTTTAATTTGTTTAAAAAACAGAATAAATGACATAAATAGGACCAACACTAAAGAAAATAACAAGAAAAAAGACAGAGACAGAGATAAAAAGGTAAATTTATCGAAAGAGTTGATAAAAAAGCGGAGGTGGTGTGTGGTTTCTGGGTTCGAACCGCATCGACAACGACAACAAAATGATAGGATATCTATTCATAGTAAGAATAGGTTTAGAAAATGTTCTGCATGCGATCACTTGGAGTTTCGCCATCTTAAGGGAATTTGAATATGTATATAAACGTCCCACATGTATATAACGTTTCACATGTATATAACGTCCATATGTAATGCACATTTATCAATAATATCATCATATCATATCATATCATATCATATCATATCATTATCATATCATATCATATCATATCATATCAATCAGCGATATTTCGCGTTAATTATCAAACCGATCCGTCAATCAATCCCTACAACACACCATATTCTCCAACACCCAGCATTCGTTCGACCACTAAACAACTTGACAAAAATGCCATTCTTCCCTCCAATAAACTTTAACAAGTGGCTCGAGGAGAACCATGATAAACTCCAACCACCCGTAAACAATTTCCTCATTCAACAAGGAGACTTTATAGTTATGGCGGTTGGTGGTCCGAATGCTCGTACTGACTACCACATTAACCAGACAGAAGTAAGAATTCTTTATTGTCCCTTTTACCTTGAATTAAAAAAAAAATTATAATTTAATAGATTTAATTGGGTGAATAATATAGGAATGGTTCTATCAATATAAAGGTAACATGCTACTCAAGGTGGTCGAAAACGACGAATTTAAAGAAATTCCAATTAATGAGGGTGATATGTTTTTATTACCAGGTAAACTTTATAATTATTTTTATACGCGTAAGCACTGTGTTGATTTATATATATATTTATTCATCGTTATTAATTTGAATGACTTAAAAAAGCCAACACGCCACATAACCCTGTACGATTTGCCGATACTGTTGGTATCGTGATAGAACGAAAACGCAGATTACAGGAAATAGGTAAATAAGTAAAGATGATTTTATTGTTAACCGATTTCTAATCTTTCTTTGTTTCGTTCTTATGAGATGTTCTCCAATGGTACTGTGAACAATGCAAAAATATCGTATACCGCGAAGCTTTTCACTGCTACAATCTAGGCGTACAATTAAAACCCATCATGGTTAAGTACGCAAATGATGTGAATTTGAGGACTTGTCATCATTGTGGACATGTGAATACGTAATAATTTAATAATAATGAATTTATTGCTGGATTATCCTAATAAACTATTTGTTACCTCAATACTTCCCTCGAATTTGCTTTCTTTATTGCTTTGATGTAAAATACTCGATAAACTCTTTCTCGTGAAACACTTTTCCGTATTCTCTAGAGTCCTTGTTCTCTGTCATGTCAATAAAGAAAGGAAGATTCATGCGTGTACTTTTCGATGAAATAGGCGGATACGAAGGCGGCGGTGACACCCAAGTTCCGTCGTCTGGATTTATCTATAAAATAAAATTTTTCCAAAATCAAAATTGTTATTTACATGCTGAAAAGGTCATATTTTTTTCTGTTAACTAACCATGTGCGATCGATCAGATGCGAAAACCTCGAGAAAAGTTTCTGCGGGTATTACTCGATACAATCTACCTTAATTACGACAGAAATTTACGACAGAATTAATAAGTTTGTAACCAGAAAGAAAATAATTATTATTGAGCACTACTACCGTTCAGATGACTCGGCATCACCAACATCCGTTAACGCCTCATACGCGTAAGTCTCAAGGTTACACGGGAAGTCAAGAGTCGTGTCTAGATCATATACCCACGATCTATTTTTTTTTTATCTATTAATGGTGCATACACATGCAATTTTGATTTTCGTACTTAAAAAAATACTACTTCTTTCCTCCGTCATCATTTATTGGTCGAGTGTATACCAGGATTACATGATAATCCTAAAAATTAATTTCTTTGAGCACACAATTTTTTGAATTATAAATTTTAGGATTATAGAACATTAAATCATTACCCAAATGATAAATCCATTATCTTGCAAAGAGGCACGTTGTCGAAATAACGGTATCTTATCAATTCCCAATAGAAAAATATATCATATTAGCCCAAAAATCAATTAACCAAAGCTAAAGACAGCGATTTCTTACAGTTTCACTCTTATTAGAAATAAAAACGATATATAACTTGTTTCTCATGTCATTATCACAGGCAAGTTTACGACATAATAAATACACGTTTTCCTCACAATAACATGATGTGTGGGTCAACGTGGATAAAGTTATTTGTGGTGGTGGTGGTGATGGTGGCATCGCGGTTTTTTTTTTTGACATACAGTTTTTGCAAATGTGTCTGCTGATCTCTAACGCATTAAGGGATACATAATTTATCTCCATTTAATTTGTGAAACTTCATTTCGGAGTTCTGGTAGCGGTAGAATCTAGATTATGCAAATAATGTTGAAAAAGAAATCAGGATTTATATATAATTTTTCTGATGCAGTCTTACATAACACGTGAGGGATATAATTCAATTTTGAATTGCAAAGATCAGGTGTAACATACAAATTTGGGGATCATAAATTTTTGATCAGCCTGGCCTGGCAATTCGCATATCACGTGATCAATGTTGTCAACTGGACCATACTGGACTTAGTACATACTGCGCCACTGGACCACTGGACTTGGTAATTTTATAAGTCCAGTTGGTTACTGGACATCTTTAGCCATCCCCCAAATTTGACCAAACGAAAAATTGCAAATAGCTCAAAATTTTACTATAACAACTAGCTTTCAACCCCTAAGTAAAAATGCTCGGCGCAATATTTTAGATGTAGTCTAATCTTTGAAAACTAGCACTTTATCTAACAGAATTTGATAATTAGTGAAACTACTCCGTTTTAACCCCAAATCCCAATATAGTCTCTCAATAATTTAATTAGTTTCCAAGGAGCTGCGATTTTATAGTTACATTTTCTATTCAAGCCTGTCATATAGCAAATAGAAAGAATATAAAAATTTTGAATTTGCATTTTATTGCTCTATTACTTTTATACCGGTGGTGGTAACTGAAAGAGAGAATGGACAACACAAATCAACAGCAGCTAAAATCTGGAAACAACAATACACTACAGTTTAACCTGGGTGGAGACGAAATAAATGAAGAACTACGGAAAAGGGTAATTGCGACTCTTCACGCAAACATAACTAAAAGTTCTCCAAATGCAGACACAAGGGTGTGTTTCGTGCGCGCAAAGTCTATTGAGGATGCTTTATATAAGAGTGTTAGTAATAAGGTGGAGTATCAGAATCGTTTAATAGCTAAATTAATCGAGTTGAATCCTCATCAGTATCAAGCGCAACAAAATGCTGTTGCACAGCGAATGACTCAAGAACAACAACAACAACAGCAGCAGCAGCAACAGCAACAACAGACGCAACAACAACCACAAGACCCGATAAATCAATTACGACAGAATGCCTTGCTGAGACGACAGCTGCAAACTGACCAAACTGCTGCTCAACAACAACAAATACAACAACATAATCTACTCATGCATAATATACAATTAAATCCGCAACTCATGCAAAGTTTACAACAATTAAGTCCGCAACAACGGCAACAATTTATGCAACAATTACAGCAACAGAAGCTACAACAATCGCAATCACAGACACCACAATCACAAGCGCAGTCTCAATCACAACCACAACCACGAACTCCGCAAATGATGCCAGCTCAACGTTCACCCCAAGTGACATCAATTCAGCCACAGCAACAGCAATCACCCAGACCTGGAATCATTCAAAATCAAACACACCACCAACAGCAGCAGCAACAGTTAGCGGCCCAATTTCTAGCCCAATTACCACAATCGAATATGTTTCCACAGAGACTTCTACCGCAACAACAAATTTTTCAACAGCCTGCAAATGTCATCAACAGCAGCAGCAACAGCAACAACAATAATAATGCGTCTACTACTAATAACATGATCAATAACAACAACAACAACAACAATAGTAATAGTAATAATAATAATAATAATAGTAGTAGTAATAGTAGTAGTAGCAATAATAATAATAATAATAATAATAATAATAATAATAATAATAATAATAATAATAATAATAGTAATAATAATAATAGTAATAATAGCAATAATAGCAATAATACCACGATTAATGCTAATGTTACCACCGCCACCGCCACCACCAATAATAGTAATAATGGTGGTGGTAGTAGTAGTAGCAGTAGTAGTAGTAGTAATAGTAATAATAATAATAGTAATAGTAATAATAATAATAGTAGTAGTAATGGTATTAGTAATGCAGCTATTTTACAATCACTTAACCCACAATTTATAAGACAACAGCAAAATCTTCGAATGAATCAACAGCAATTGAGTCAACAGCAGCTACAGCAGCTGCAACAGCTGCAACAGCCATCGAATCAACAGCAGCTGCAATTCAATCAACAACAATTAGCACAAATGACTCCACAACAATATCAGCATTTTGCTACTGCCATACAACAGAAACGAATGTACCTGGCTCAACAACGAGCTAATATCGCGACTGCTTCACCTCAAATACCACAAATATCTCCTCAACAGCAACAAATTCCCCTGCAACAGCATAATATGCAAAACATGCAAACTATGCTACGATACAAAATTGTTATTGATAATATTCTAAAAAGTGGTAATCAACGAATAAATGCACAGGAAGCTGAAGTCCTCAAGCTCTTCGGATTTACAGCTGAGACCCAATTGACTCCAGATGTCAGAGCCAAACTTACCCAACTTTCAAATCGTCTTGCTCATCAAGCTACAATGCATGTAAATCAGCTTCGAGCCGCTCGTCCTCTATTAAATGGCACTCCAGTAAATCCTGGTGGCGCAACAGCGACAGCAGCATCAAATTTAATCAACCCTAATCAAGCAGCTCAAATTGCAGCCGGTCAATTACCGATTAATTCGTTACAGGGAAGACCTGCTGTGTCCGGAATAAATCCTACGCTGAGACCTAATTTATTACAAGCTGGTATTCGGCCATCTATTCAAAATCTAAATCTCCAAGCAATGCAAGCTGCTGGCTATCAAATACCTACTACGGCGACCACATCTGCCGCCGAAGGGTTCATAAATAATCTTGAACAATTGACATCCGCATCAATGGGGCAGACAGCCGCTTTAGTAAATCCCGCAATAAGTAATACAACACCGCCTACCATGAAAAAACAACCCACGAACCAGACCTCAATCACTCCATACTTGATAAGTAATAATCCGCCCACAAACACCGTCACGAATATAACGTCAGCACCTGCTGCTGCTGCACCTCAACAACAGGCACCATCCCAATCTAGTATTATACAAAAAGTTCTTTCCGATTCAGAAATAGCCGAGGCTAAGGCTAACATAAAAAAAATCGACGAGGAACGACAACGCGATAACCAAATAAGCTATAGTGAGAATCATGAAGTGTCTGAACAAGAAAAAAGAACCATTTTGGAAAAATTGGAATCACTCAAACCAATGTACGAAAAGATTGATGAGTATCTTCCATACGTTTGGCATTTTTATAAAAATCAACAAACTATCGTTAGGATTTTGGGCATGAAGAAAATGATCGGAGATCTACAAGAAGCAATATCCGAGGGAAAGTTAAACATGAAATTACATACGTTGGAAAAATTGCATACTGAATTCAAACGGTACTTTGAAGTGGCGGAAAAAAGCCACAGAGGAGAGACCATGTCTGATCCATTTGCGATCCCGCGGGCTTCACCGCCTCCAAATGTGAAGGATGTCTTTTCTTCGACCCAAAAACCTTTTACTTTAAATCAACCGCCAACGCCCAAGCATGCTAATAATAAAACACCAAATCCCCGATCTAATTCTAAATCAATTCCTGGAAAATCAACAAACAGAACCGGTAAAGACAATAGTAGCACTAATAAAACATCAACTGCTACAAGTAATATTCCTAATCAGAATGTTGATTTAACCGGCGTAGTGACAAATCAAAATGCTGGAATGATTGCGAATCAGATAGGAAATAATAATAATAATATAACAGCCGGTAACAATATTCAACAGACCGCCAAAAGACACAGGAAATCTTCTCTTGACGTTGAAAAACCAGCATCTGTTCCTGCACAATCCTCAGTTCATAACACAAATAAAACCTCTGAATTGATAGATGCAGATATATCAGATGGAAATTTTTCATCGTCAAAGAGACGACGTATAGATGCTGGTGAAAAATCAACACAGCTTATTCAAGAGAACTTTACTGCCCCTGTAACACCACCTGCCATTATCACAGCCTCCAATGGAAATAATTTTCCAATCGGCTTATCTTCACAAGCCATGAATACGTCACCAATGTTTAACCATTCAATGGTCTCGCGTCCAATCGAAGTTGTTGATGACGATGGAGATGATAGTGACGCTGAAGACAAACGTCCTCCGGTTGAATCGCTTTTCGATCGTCAAGTCTCTCGAGAAAAACAAAGTCAATCGTTTCAACTATTAGAAGATGTTTTATTGAATTTCAATCCTGGAAAAAAGATGATCGGCGGTAAAGAAATTTCTGAATCAAAGAAATCAATAAATCCGATGCGTCTTATATTGGACGGCCCGGATCCGGTTCCAGAATCATCTGAAAATAAGTTGCTTGTATTTAGCATGCGTGGTGCTTGTTGAGTGGTTGCGCTTGCAGTTGTGGTAGTTATAGAAAATTTCATTTCAATCATTTAATCAATAAACATGCAATTCAAATTTATCATCTAATAAATATATCTTTTTATACATTTGAGTATATAATTATAATATATAATACATAATGTACATAGTGCACCTATAATCAGGAAATTAATCATTCTTTTGCTCTTTCGGGCTTTCTTTGCAATTATGACTTTGTAATTTTATATTTAGTAGGTCAACTTTATATGAGTTTTTGGCGATTGTCTTTCAAGAACATAATAATAAAAATAAAAAAAATAGTCATACGGACGATTGTAATAACAAATTGATTGATTTGAATGAATCAGTTATTTCTTGTAAATACACCCATAGTTTATGACACAACAGATATTTCAGGAACATCTTACATTTGCTAATTTTGAAAGCAGAATTATTCTCAAGTGGTGAACCACAAAAATAAAAATGCTTTTCTCTCTTTTTCAAAACCATTTTCGCCGGGCCTTGGCTTACTCCCGTTTCAAAATATTTTCTACAACTAGACTCTCCTTAACAAAACCACCGACCATAACTTCTCCAAACTTGAACTCCAATAACACTACGCTAATTTCCTCTTTAAAACTATCAAAGAGGTAAACCAAGAATTCTCTTTATATATATATAAGTATATATATTATATCTTCTGACCTTCCTATTTCCGAAAGGCCACCAATACAACAACCCCCCTCCCTATCCCTATCTCTGATAATATCGTCGTCGTCTTCACTTAAATTCTTTTTCCCGACCACCGCCACCTATTCACTACAACAAGTTCGTTTTCGTGCATATGGTCGCGAGTATCAACCGAGTAACAGGGTGCGTAAGCGACGACACGGGTTTTTGTCAAGATTGCGCTCGAGAGATGGGCGAAAAATATTGGTTAGGAGAAAATTGAAGGGACGAAAATGGTTGTCGCATTGAAAGGATTATCTATCATTTTGGGGCGGAACTTTTTCTCGTCGGTATCGAAAGTATGGTATGTTGGATTTTTTTAAAACGTCCTAAATTTTGATAATTTCATACTGTGATGCTAAAAATAGACTTCATTTCATGATTCTTTTAAACTTATTACAAAATGATCAGAAATACACTAAAAATACACTAAAAATTAGTTTATTAAATAATTCAAAACTGTAAAACAATTCGAGCAGCCAAGTCTTTGCCCACAGCCGCGACATATTCTTTCAACATTTCTAATGCATATTCATTATTCTGAATTCCACTAATTGACTATTTTTTTGGTAATTAAAAATTATAATAAATTGATGAAAAGATAAAATAAATCCGCTTAAAACTACAATGAAAAAAAGTTACCTCGACGTTTTTTATTCTCCCATTTATCGACACACGAATTTTACGCAAATCTTGAAAAGTGAGATTCTCGGGATCAAGCATTCCTGGCGGAAAGTAGTTATTTGTGGTGTTATTTGATTCATTGTCCTCAAAAAATGACGACGACGACGACGACGACGAACTTTCCTCTATTGAATTTTCTTCACTCTCAAACTTTGAATTTGAGAATGCCACATATTTTTGCTTATCTAATAGAGGTGCACACTTTTCAAAAGGATACCAATCATATGTTTCCTGTTCAAAAAATAATGATAAAATAGTGAGTGATAAATTTTATGCAGTGAAAAAAAGAAAGTTAAAGGATGAAACATTGTATTATGCTACTAACAGGATCCAATAGCTCAGATGGTTGATATTGACTCTTGTATCGCATTTTTTGACAAGAATGAATATAGAAACCTGTAATTTTTAAATAAAAAATAAACCGCTCCGTTGAAAACTCCCAAAGATAATATTGATACCAAAAAATTTAGATACCCATGTAATACCATTCCAACTCGGTACATCCAGCGTCATGTAATTCCTTAGTGAAAGAAATTTCTCGCAACGCGCTATAGTTCCCAAGCCCAAGAAACGAATAATCCGGATCATAAATAAAATAAACAGATGACACACATTTCGGAAGGATGTCAAGAACTGCAATTGCTATTAACTTGTCGTCTAAATAATAGAGTTGATGGAATGAACCGTAACCAGGAGTGTTGGGTCTGGATGGGGGTTCAAACTTTATAATAATAAAAGTATAAAATAAATATAAATAATACATAAAGAGCTATGTAAATGGATAAAATATATACAAACAATTAATGGCGAATTCACGAGGAACCCCTTAAAGCCGTATTCTGTGAGGCGAGATGGTTCATCCTTGTGAATATTCACTTGGTATTTTTTATATAACTGAAATTTTTCTGTAGTGAAAGAAGATTTTTCTAATATAATCTGAGAATTTATAATAGTAATTTAGAGAGAATATAATTGAATAATATAAAAGATCATTTATTTATGTGTAATCAATTATACCCTGAATCGATGCTTCCAATCGTGTTTTTCTTCATATTCGTGAATTGCTTCGCTTAATTCAAACGTAGATGCATTCTTATTTGTTTTTTTCGATTTGACATTAGTATTCAATTGAGGATCTTCTCTGAAATGGAAAAAAAATTAATGAATTTTTGATAAAGAAACAACAAAACTAATAAGACATTTATTTTTATTTACTTGTGTATTGCAATCAGCTCCGATCCTTTTCCTTCCTCTATGGAAGGCACGAACAATCCTTCGATGTAATGATTAAATTTACTAATTATTTTCCTCTGTGATTTTGAAGCTTGAAATTGGAGCACGTTTAATCTATACAAAAGTAAAGCAATGAGATCAGGATCTTTGAAAATTAGATGATACTTTGAAAAAACCGTAAAATCAAATAAGCAATTCAATTTAAGCACATAAGAAAAATGCCTTATTGTATACTGTGGACAGCAACTGTCTCGAAGGTTTGGCTTATAAGTATAATGCCCCGAACTATTAAAAACGTCCGAAATTATACAATTGCTATCGAAATAGTAAATTTTTGTATTTTACCAAAGAGTATTTACCGCCGCCAACCACGGTCTATGAAGTCTTGATAATCCTAAAACCCAGAAAATTACGCAACTTTTCAAAAATACGATAATTCTGAAAGTGCAGGACATACCCGACAGGTCATCTTATCAGCCTGAATGCCAAAGCTATGCGAGGAACTGCTTCCCTTACAGTAACCACAACTTGATGAGTGAAAACCTGTGCTATAAACGAAGGTCATCGCCATGATTATTGTGAGCAGTATGACATTATGATCAGGTACAAATAAGTTTAGTGGTTGTAACATCACATGAGAAATTTATGAAATTTTACATAATTTATAGTATATTTTAAATGTGTAGTATCGAGGAACCGATATTGGTCAAAGGTATATTTTTCTTATTATAGTTTAAATAGGAACGATATATTTGATATTACTTCCCTAATAGAGCAGGCGCCTTTATCAGCCGGTAAAAAGTGCATAAAATGCAAGATAGCTAAAGCTACGATACTGATACGATATTCTACTTATTGCAAGTGAGGCCAGTTTCTATTTTTTTATTCATCGAAATTCTACACTTTTTTCAGTATTAATTAAACATTTGGGTCTTATTAAAAAGATCATGTTTTCAACATGTTTTTGTTGGAAAATTTCGAAAAAATCTCGAGAAATCACGCGTAATTCATTCTGCACCCGATGAAAAGGCAATGGTTGCGTTATCGGGAGGCCCGTCATCAAGGTTTATTTTGATTTTTCTCATTAAAATAATAAAAATTAAGCTAACTCATTGAAATTAGATGCTTACTTCAACTATTGCGTGACTATTGTGAACCATTGCCACACGAAATATCAAAGAAATCTACGTTTAACGAGATCAAAATTTGTCATGTTGATGAAAGTGTTGCGATATTCGATGAACAAGAAAAGGAGAAGGTTTCGTGACTTCGGATTTATTTTGGTATTATTATATAATTTTTGCTTCATAAGGTTTCATTTCATTGATTTTATTAACTATAGGAAAATAGTACACTATGCAAAGTAGAATCGATAGCCAAAAAATACAATTACGAATTTATAGGACTGAGATTAGAAGACATTTTCTCGCCTGAATATACATCTAGTGGATTATATGATAATGTTATTGAAATCACATTCGATAATTCTAAAAGGACACAGGCAAAAGGTTATTTTTTATTTCGTAATTTCCTTTTTAATTTAAAAAAAAATTGTTAACATTATATTTTTATTTGCCAAAGAATTACTTTCCAAAATCTATACCCAAAGTTCTTTATCAAATCGCGAAAAATTGAAGTCTCTTCTTGACGCCGTATCGACTCTTACATCCAAAGAAGAGTTGTTGTGGCATTTTAAAATGTGTTTATTGATGCAAATGGCTCGTAAAAAAGGGTATATTTTATATATAATACGTATTATTCTTAATCGATTATCAGAATCAGAAGAAAATACAATATTTTTTTCTGATCAGATGCACAAGATTATTTATGGGCGACTGTTCAACACGTCTTTCGATAAAAATTATTTCGTTGACGAGCAAAGGACGTGGATTCAGTTTGCCATTGGAAACATCAGGGGAATGTAATTTGTTTAAGGGTATTTACAAACATTTAATCGAATCTTTTTTTTTTACTTTATTTTGGGTTTTTGTAATGAATTGAAAAATTCAGCAGAAAAGCATTACGAATTTAATTTTCTACTCTGTCAGAATAATAAAATTGTTAACTTGGATTCAATAGATGTGATAATATTAAGACCAATGAAAGACATGCTTTCCAAAGAAATCGGCATTTACAATCAATTTACTGGACTGGTCGATGATATAGTAATTACTCCTACGTTGACTTCAATGATGTCTGTAGCATCTAGCATCGAGAGGTTAACTGAAGGTATATTTTGATAGTTTAGTTTTGTATTAATTTTTAAAAATTTTAATTCGTATCACGTAATCTCTGGTATAAACTTTCTAATTGGATTTTAATTTACAGATTTCATCGTTGGATTAGAGAAAGACTACCCTTCAACAGTTAGCACGATTGCAAGGACTGGTGCAAAGTTGACACCGTCGAATTTGATTAATTTGGAACAGAGTTGTGCCGTTTGTATGATGTATGTACCCGGTATATATGTTTTAAAGACGTGATGAAAAGGAAAGAACCTATTCCATATTTACTTTTGGAAATCGTGAAAAAATGATTTAGGCCTTACAAGGAAGGAATCAAAAATTGGCAAAACCGTATAACAGTTCACATGAAACAACCACCACTAGCACCTCCGTCACCATTTACATCACCTTCGCAAAATTCGATTTCCATGGACTATAATAATTCGTCGTGCCAATGCGCATCAAATGGTAATTGTTGTACACCAAACAGCATATCAGATCAACAACAACACAATCACCACAAACAATCGCAACAGCAAAATATTGAAATTTCAGATACATTATGTTATGCATGTCTTGTTAACATGCGTGATATCAAAAAAGTCGTTGAATTTCCACCATATGTCGCTGATGCCGTTGAAAAACATACTAAGCGTGAGAATTTAAAAATACAGATTAAAGATTATTTGTTGGATGATGATGATGAGGATGGTCAAACGAATAATGATTAAATTTTATCCTAATAAATTATTTATTTGTTATTTGCTACATTGTCTGCATGAGTTTAGATCTGGCTTTTTGCACTTAATCCTCTGCCCTTAGTATAGAAACACTTTAATAATATAGAGTGATTTTTTTGGATCGACTTCTTATAATGTTGCATTAATTTGTACAATTAATGGATAAAATAACTGTAAAATTTTATAAGGGAATGATTCGAGCCAAAAGAAAAAATATATAATCCTTAGTTAATTGTCCGCACATACATACATACATACATACATACCATACCATACATATCGCTTAATCGAATATTTCGACGGTTTGTTTTAATCAAATGAATTTTTCTAAAAGGGTCAGTCAATTCATTTCATTCATCGATAGTAAACAATGTAAAAAATTTTTATTTTAATTGCTGATTTAATAGATCCTACAAAAAATACAAAAGGCCACAAATGCCACCATAGCCATCTCACCGACAGCAAATCGTCTGAAATACAAATTTTTCGCTACGACAAACTTTAATAATAAATCCTTAAAGACCGATTACGTCGGAATACCTGATACAATATCAAATTTACGGCCGATCAAATATTATATACCTGAAAATGCATCTCCGGAGGTAAGTAAATTCATTTTTATAAAAATCAGATTAGTTTCGTATCTAATGAATTAATCAAATAAAAAAGGATACCGAATGGCGACTACACAGAGAACGCATCGATCAATTCAACCACCAGTTCTGGACAAGCAACAACGAATTATTCATTGTCGAGAAACAAGAATACGAAAATCAACGTAAGTTGTTTTATTGACAATGAATGTATCATCCATAATCTTAACCAAAAAGTATTAACAATCTTTCTCAGTCAAATTAAAAACCGGCAAAAAACCAACTTCAGCAGAAATATCAATTTTCTACAAGGACTTTCTGGATAAAGCGTATGATCGTCAAATGGCTTATAATCAGCAGTGGTGGAAGGAGAACATCAGGATGCTGTTACCTGGTGGAAAAGCCGCTATTCGCAATTTTAGGATTTGGATGCCGAAAAGATCACGCACTCGAATTTCTTTTTTCGAGAAGAATGCATCATCATGAGTGTTTATTTTGTGAAAAGTAATTAATACATAGTTCAATATCTAATTATTACAATTTTATTATTCTATCACCTTTTTTAAGATTTCATTAGTAAGGCCTAATTTGTTTGTATTATTATACATACATAATAAATGCAATAAACTTTTTGAACAGAATTCATGAGAAATCTAAATAAATTAATAAATAAATAATTTCCAATACAGATATGTCTACCAAATCAAAATGATCCATTTTTAAACCGTCATGCCGATATTATCCTCAACAATAATAATGATGATGAAAATGACAAGTTCTATATCAAAAAGAAAAGAATTAATGATTCCGCGCCAACTCTGAAAAATAACTTAATAAATCTTCAGTGGTGAATTCCAACGAGATATTAGTGTCTGGGTAACACTTGTTGATTATTGAGGTGAAATGTTTGTGATTGTTGATCAGTGTTGTTTGTATGCTACGCCAGACAACTTGAAGTAATCCTTCTTCTTGGGTGAAATGTCGGTCTACGCGCTTGTATGACGATTCGAGGCCTCTTTTTATCTTTTATATCAAATAAAAACGAAAAAATTTAAACCGCTGGAAATAAAACGGAAGTTAGAGCAGTAAAACATAATAAATTTACCTCTTTGCCTGGAAATTGGGAGACAACTTTCTTTAGGGCATCTTTACTATATCGCAGATGAAACCCGACTTCTTCCGGCGCTGCAGTAGTTTTCAATAAATTATCTATACCATCGAAAAATTCCTACGGGAAACAATAAAAGCAAATTCCCGGTATATTAGTATGGATAAAATAAATCGATTGAATGACTATGACTGCTTACTATTAATTTTCCAAATGGTTTTCGAAGAACAGATTTAGAATATGCTTCCAGATGTTTCTCATAAGAAATTTTCGCGTGCTTCACGTATGGCTCCAAGACACTGATTTTATATGTGAGGATCTCGGTGTAAAAGCGGTGCATATTTTCTGATAAAGTTTTATAATAAAAATTATTTATTGTTTTGTGGTGAGAGATTCCAAAAGAAAAGCAGAACAATAGAGAAAAACCAACACACCCAACATCATAGTATGCACATTCAACTGTTCCTTATCGTCTGCCAAAGAACCCGTGTCTTTTGCAATAGCCTCCAACGAATCAAACATCGTCTTTACGATTCTTTCATACGCTTTATTAACAATCTCACGAACTTCTAGTTTATCCACGAGTTCTCCTTGCATCGAATGTTCAATACGTTCACAATAACGCTATATAAGCCAAAAAAAATTCAATTAACATAATTTTTTTTAATAAATCAGATAAATTAATAATATAGTTTACCGGAAACAGCTTTATGAATAATATGATTCCTTTTCGTTTCTTTGAAGTGACTTTTGTTTCCTCAATTGTTCTTAGTTGTTCATTCTATTTATAATAACAAAAAATGTGAAAATATTCATAACGAAAAATAGACATTGATCGATAATCATCATAACATCTTACTTACAGTGAACTTCTCAAATATATTTATGCAACGCAATCTCACCATGCCCAAAATCTTGACCAAGAATTCTTGACTGGTTTTTTGATACTCGTAAATATGTTTGTCAAGTACTACAAGCATTCCTACTGATTGTCTGTATGCATATAAATACTCTAAATAATTAGTTACATTGATCATTACTGACTCCATATGAAAAAAAAATTGAGCGAGAATATCAAGGCAACTTACATGTGATCATGCTTACATCCATAATCGATAAAACTAGTTAATTCTTCTGGTAAAAAAGCAAACATGTTTTGCATATGTTCTCTAAGGAAGGAAAACAATAATAAATAATAATATGAATTAGAAAATAATTTCCCAACTCAAAGAATATTGAAAATTCAATAACAATAACAATAACAATAATAAATACAGTAATTTCTTTTGCGCCTGATAATCTTTGATTGGTCCACGTTTAGCATTCAACTCTTGAGGATGCCAATTCTTCAATTCTTCCCGATTCAAAAAGGTTTTTGGACCTTTATTACCAAGATGAAAGAAATCCGATATGAAGTTTTGTTCGCGAACAATTAATGGAACGATTGTCAACATTATTTGCTCAAATCCCTATTTAATAAAAGAGAGGAATAGAATGATATTATTGTATGGATCTAGAGATAATCGTGTTGCAGTAGACGTAATAATAACCAAAATGAACCTCTTCAGGTGGAAGTTTTCCACCTCCAGCATCTTTGTATTCCCATGGTGCTCTACTAAAGTCACCATGATTATTTCCGCTGGCAAGACTAGATCGATGACTAAGACAATATGAGGCGGCACTAAAAGCTGCAAAAAAGTGATTGTATTTAACGGTTGTTAAAATATATATATATATTTCTTTGCAAATCTTGGAAATTAAAAATACCATAAGTTGCCTCCTCAGCCAATTCCCTTTTCGAAAGCATCAGACGCATTTGTGCCATATATTCTTTACTTTCTTTTTGATAGATTGGCTCAACTGCTTGCGCATATAACTAACAAATACACAAAGGTCATCACATGCAATTCAAAAGAGAAACTTAACATAGTTGAATTATAACAACAACAATAATCGACAAATTTTAAAACACTCACAGTCTGCAACTCATTATGCTGTCGCGGATCAATTTCTTTCATCCACAACGAGAGCCCGCGATATTTCAACAAACAATCTTCAATGGTCTCGTGCCCGAGAACCGTAAGACTATTACGTCGAGGCCCACGACTTTTATCATTCATCAAAATATCTGCCTAAGACAATTGGCGTTATTGTGGAAAAAATAGCTACTACTTCAAGTCATCAATTAAAAATTGATATGAAAAGTGATATGTATATTTTATGCTATATAGTGGGAGATGGATGTTTTGACAAGAGTCTGGCTACCTGATACTGAAACGATTTTTTTAAATGTTCGTGGAGACGGTTGGAGAATCCGTTACTGTGTAGACTGTATAACTCCACCTTTTCTTTAACCGCGGTCATTTCTCGTGTTGCTATATTGTTATGTATTTTTGCATTTTTCAATATAAAAATAATTTAATTCATATAGAATTATCGTGAATTTTGTTATGTAGGGAAAAGAACCATAAATAACCTTCATCGAAAGTGGATTCTAGTGCAGCTTGTAGACGCGCTGCTGCATTCTCAATATGTTGGACACCTTGCACCGTATCCAAAGTTTCTTGACGCAATACTAAGAACACTTCATCCGGAATAATAATTGATTGCTGCAAATATACAAAGAAAATTAAACGAAAATTCAATAGAATTTTGTTGATCTTTTTGACTTTGATTACTTACAATTAACCTATCCAACTCTGCAAGTAAAGCTTTCTGATTCGCTGTTTGTACTTGCAATCCACGATTTTGCGATTCAATATGATGAATATCTTCACCCATACTCTTTTTGATTATTTTCCGAGAAATTATTGTTGTTAACATTGAATTATATATATACATATATATAATAAATTAAAATTTAAATCTGTGGAAAGAAATTCAATATACATACATTCAACTCGCCAGTATACAAAGTCAACCATTGATCCATATGGTCTAATTCAGATATTGCTTTATCCAGCTGTTGTACAACCGCGTTGAGTCTATCGTCCGATTCCACCATCGCATGAATATTTGCCTTTATTAATTTCGAAATTAAAAATATCGTCGGTAAATAACATACTACTATAACATAATAATAATGAGAATATTAAAAAAACATCATACAGCTTCCAACGCCGCCAACTCATTTAACAATCTTTCTTCCAGCGCTGCAGCGTTTCCCGTTTCCTTCCAATTAAAATCATTCAACAGTTCTTCGACATTTATCAAAGAAATTTCTTCTTGTTTAGCATCTTTGTGACCCGAAATTTCCATTAAAAAAATTAATCAATTAAATGTTTGTTCTCATAATTACAGTGAGAAAAAAAATGAATTTGTGAATAGGTATCTTACAGTCTTCGTCGTCCGCGTAATTTCCTATGCTATGTGTTTCACTTCCTCCACCTCGTGATAAGGAAGGTGTCGATCTGTCATTCTGCACAAGGTTTAGCAGACTTTGGTCGGCTATACGCGGTAAATTCGGCGTAGACTTGTTCTCTAGCCGTGATTGCAGTGAGACTGCTAGTTCATAGCTTTCGGTGTTGCCATTCACCGCCGATCGAGCTTGGATTTCTAAATAAAAAAATGATTAGAGAAAAACTTCTCTTATATGAATTAACAAACAGACAAATACCTCGAAGTATATTTTCTTCAAGATTTACCAACTGTGGAAGTCGGCTTGTGTGTTTTTGATATACCTAATTAGCGTGTATATGTTTCACAAATAATTTTATTTTTTTTATGTGTATCCGATATTCAATTATTCAATTACTCTTATTTTTCGCCAAGCAAATATGTATATACAAACATTCAACACACTAGCCAAGAATTCATTTTTTTCACGCTGTTTTTCGGCAGACCAACAATACGTTTTATTCATGGTCATCGTGAAAGTTTGTGGCTATTAATTATAATAATTGTCAATAAATAATTATCAATAAATAATAAAATCAATAATTAACATGGTATGAAAAAATAATTGGGTTTTTTTGTTGAATTTTATTGGATCCGAACAAATCGGAAATACATACATCAATAACTTCAACGCTAACAATGTTTTCAAGAGGCCATGTCTTGCCAATCTGGAAATGTGTATTACCATTTTTCTTGGCTTTATGAAGACGTACTCGGCCCTTTCGGTTATTTACTGTCATAGTAGTTGTTATTATCGTGATACAAATTGTAAATACAAAAAATTCAAAGATTTGAGAAACACTTTTCTCTTTGAAATGGATGGAAAATATGAATTCAATATAATTTTAAAAACCTGATAATAAAAGATAACGAGTTTTATCTGACTTATTGCCTCTTTTTAGAATCGATGTGGGCCTATCAAACCCAGTAGGCGACTGGCCCCCAAAAGACTCCTCGTTAACTTTAAGATAGTTGATTAATCTTTCTGACTCTGAAGATTGACCTAAGAACGGCAGTAAATGACCAGAGTTTTAGCTTGTTGAAATAGTTTTCCTTACATTAAAAGCGAAATGAGAAGTTTGTTGAACGCCAACCTGGTGACTTGGGATCCTCAACAGAATCTGAAAACAGCGATTTGATGATTAGTTGTCGAATAGGGTCTGTTTGTCTTATGTCAGCCATAGAATGTTATGTATAGTAAGTAATACATATATAGAGTAAGATTGCTTTTTCTGGATTTTAGAAAGCGCGGCAAACGGCGTGTCGAAAGTTTTTGATAGTTTTTGGAAAATGCACGTGGTTTAAGGAAGCAGCATAGTAGTACATAACGAGATGTACATCAACATAGATCTCGAGCAACTTTTTTATGCTTCGTGTTGTTGGATACCTGTCAAGACGACACCCCTTCGTTAATGTGAAAAGATACAGTATGAATAAGTGTGTAGTTGCTATTATTGGAACTACTGGAGTGGGAAAATCTGATTTGGGGGTTCAGTTAGCTAAAGCGTTTAACGGAGAAGTTATTAATGGGGATTCTATGCAGGTAATTAAGTGCAGACACATTTTATGAGCAATTTTGGATGCGTTTTAGCTTTGGAAAGTGGCAAGAATTGTAAGATAATTTCATTTGAGTACTGGGTTCTCGATGTACATTTTTTCATTGATGAGTTCGTTTGTACGAATTAATGGAGTAAATAGTCAGAACTGTCTTGAAATTTTTGTTATGCGTAAATTTCAACACACTGCTTAAAAGCCACTTTGTTCTTGTCAAGATTGATCGATCTATTTCAAATATCCACCAATATTCTGAATAATAATAGTTCGCATGACGAGGCTAATATTACAAAATCAAAAATGGGAAACATTTTGTGCATTGATTTACGCAGAATCTCATCTTTATTGGGTCCTTTGACAAGAATCTTTTGAACTGATACTAGCTCGCTATTACTATAATTTGGGATAATATTCTATATGTTAAGCAGAGAAGAGAGCTATTGGGAGTGAAAGAATGAATTTGGTTTAAATGTAGAAATTTTTTTCACCTATTACTACTATTTACAAATAAAATTTCATTGTGAAGAAAAAAATCACTTTTCATTCATTATTATCAAACATGTAACAGATGGAGGGTTTATGAACAGTGTTAATTCTATTTATATTATCCAGGTATACAAAGGATTAGATATTATCACCAACAAAATAACTGTTGAAGAACGGGACGGAGTTCCGCATCATCTCATGGATTTTCTGGAGCCGCATCAAGAATACCGAGTAACTGAATTTACTAAAGATGCTTTACGACTTGTATGTGTTAAAATCTTAGTTTTGCATTTTCTTGCCATTCTATACAGAACGTTTGAAATAATAATCTATTATTATAATGATTGTTCATGATTATAAGATCGATGAGATACATTCTCGAAATCATCTACCAATAATCGTCGGAGGCACTCACTACTACATACAATCACTACTATGGAAAAATTCACTTGTCAGCGAGACGGCATCACCATCTTCATCTAGCGACGATTCTGATGACGACTGTTATAACGAGAATAGTAGAAATAATGATGGTGATGATGATAAGATACTTAATGCTGACACGAGTATCTTGTACAAGCGTTTACAAGAAGTTGATCCAGTGATGGCGAATAGATGGCACTGGAATGATAGACGAAAAATTCGTAGAAGTTTACAGGTTCTTTTTTCTTGTGTATGATGTATTCGTTTTTTTTTAAAAAAAAAGTTCACGTCTGTCTAATCTTGTCGTTTTTTTTATTAGATTTATTTGAGAACTGGTAAACGACATAGTGAGTGGATCGATGAACAACATCAGCCTGAAGAAAAAGCTAACTCGCCTCGGTAAAATATAAATTGTATATCACAAATCAATAATCCATTCAAATTTTAATTTCTATATTGTTAAGAAACTTGTTTTATATTAATAACAGATTTCCGCGAATGTGTATATTCTGGCTATATGCTGATCCTGAATATCTTAAACCTCGACTGGACGCAAGAGTCGATAAAATGATAGAGGTAAAAAAGAGTCAGCAATAGTATCACAACATCCTCTTATGCTAATTTATTGTGAATTTGCAATTAGAAAGGCCTATTTGATGAAATACGATATCTGAGAAATCAATTAAAATTGGGACAACAAAATACTCCGACCGGAGATCCTATCGATTACACACGTGGAATATGGCAAGCTATCGGTAAGAAGAAAAAGAGAAATCGACTCCAAGGAGGAAAATTACCTTACTTTCCCTGAATTTATAGGTAATCTTCAATTTAGTTTAATAACGTCAAGAAAGAAATTTCCTCCTCCCTCTGATTAGGCTACAAAGAATTTGATCCGTATTTATCGTCGTTGGAGCGTGTTAGCGACTCTCTAGGAGGTTTGTGAATTCATTTTCCGAATATAATCCGATTCCTTATTAAAAAGGATAAATTAAAACCTAGACATTACACCTACTCAACAAGACGAAATCTTGAAGCAATCATGTACAAATACAATGAAAGCTGTAACTCGTCGTTACGCAAGACGACAAGTGCGTTGGATACGTAATAAGTTCTTGCTAAAGTTACAACAGCAGCAGCTCCCATCGCCTTCCCCTCAATCTCCATCAGAAGATGCAAATATCGCGAAATTGTATTTATTGGATGCAACTTGTATCCTTGTTTTTTTATCTCTTATTTTATTTAGATTATAAGTAAAATCTATAACCAATAAATTATCTAACAGCATTGGACACTTGGATTGAAAATGTCTGTAATGTCGCAATAAATATCACAAAAGGTATTTTATTTTACTGATTTTAACTGCATATCTATTAAAATAATATTGATTATTGCTTCTTTTAAGAGTTCATGAACTCTGGTACAGGACCCGATCCTACGCAATTAAATTCAATGGCTGCAGAAATATTATCACAACCAATCCAGAAAATGGAGTAAATATATTTTGTTCTGATAATAATGATAAACTAATAAATAATATTATCGTTGTCTTTATGTATAGCAATTCACAAAGCATCCACACCTGGAAAAAATACCAATGCGAAATCTGCACAAAATTCGCAAATATCTCCGGTCCTAATAAACCCCTTCAAGATGATAAAACTGATCAGCAACAAGGAGGTAATAATAATGAAACATTATCATTTTCAGGCACAAGCGATTCTTGTGATAATCGGCTAAAATCACAAGCTTCACACTCACCACCGCCGTTATCATCTCCGAATTTACCCGTCACAACACTCATCACACTTAACGGACCAACTGAATGGAAACAACACTTGAAAAGTAAATGGCACAAGAGTAATGTGAGGTTACTAAAAGAAATGAATGAGAAATGGGGTGGGGAATTGCCACCTTGGTTTCACAAATTGAAAAACGATGAGGATTGAATAATAAGCTGGTATTTAGTTCTTTTAGTAGTAATGTACGGGATTGAGTGGAGGATTTAATGCATTAATTATGTCTTTACAAAATGTATTCGTAATGTGAAAAAAAATACAAAGATTAATTAAAATTATTATTTGAAATTTTGAGATGGAAAAATGAAGATGGAATTTGCAATTGGAGTCTTGTGTGGGTTATATATAATAGATCGATAAAAAATAAAATATAAAATATATAAATTAATTAGATTTTTGTGTTCATTTTTGTTTTTGATTTCTATACAAAATATTGATATGAGGAGCAACAGGAGAAAGATATAACGATCAAAAATATTACAATAATAAAGACGGTAAAAATAATTACAATTAAGTAAAAATGTAATTGTCGTAATAGTATTAGAAGTAGTACCAATTGAATAAATCTCAATGACCCTGCAAATATTGGATTATTTGATTATAATTAATTTTTCTAATGTTCTAGAAGTATTAGGCTAGAGTCTACTCGCCTAACCTTACTCGATGAATCCATATCGGAGTGAAACAACTAATACAACCGACAATCCTAAGTAACTATATTGACTGAGAATGTGTTGTTATTATTGTAATTAATGTGTGTGTGTATATATATATATGTATATAATATTATTTCGATCTTAAGAAAGTCCACATCAAAGTTGCTCCAATAGCAAGACCCAAGGCAAATGACCCCCCGGAAACTGCCAAAAGTTCGGTTAATGTGGAATTTTTTGTGTGAAGTTGAGGAGGATGAGGGTGAATAGTGGTACCAGGAGTGTGAGTCGTGGGAGAAGGAGACTGAAGTGACCGTGGAGATCGAGGATTTGGTGAAGTTGGAGAAACCGGAGATTCCGGTATATCGGGAACCAATTCTTCTGACGGATACGACTGCGGTTGAAGCTCCGCGACCAATCTTATTAAATTACTCTGAGCTTTTCGTGCAGCCGAGACGGCAGTCTGTAAATCATCATCACTGCTCAACACAATCTTGTCATTCTCATCATCAATATAACTAATCGTCAAATCAAACGGCAAGTCCATACAAATTTTTCCGCGAATTGCACTCAAAAAATCTTCCAGGTCTTTACACGGCGCATTGAATCGATGCGTCTGTGAGGAACTCGGATCAGTGAATTTGAACGTGAATGTGTCGTCGTCGAGTTTCGACGCTGTAGAAAAGCGACGGTTTAATTCTGGAACGGCGATGTCGACAGTTGATGATGGACTAGTGGCACCGGTTGAGGGGTTTCTGATACTGGGATTTTCGATTGAGAGTGAGCCGTTGTGGTTTGTGCGATGATCGGAGAGACTGTCGGAGTTGTTTTCTTCCATAGTGACTGCGTTCCAAAATTTGTTCCATACTGGCCCATCGGCTTCTTGAAGTTGCATGGATTTTAGCTGTAGTAATGATGAAAAATCAAAAAATATATTAATTATTATACGACTTAAACATTCTATGATTTGGGGTATATGTTTGCTTTATAAGACACTAACCGTATTCAAGGTAGTATATGTAAGTTGTATAATATCCACCACACCAACCACCGAAGTATTTTGATCAAGTAATGGTAAATGTTGATAGTGTCCTCCTTTTATTATTATAAAAGACAAAAATGAGCAAAATACATATAATATTCAGATGAATTATTTTTAATATCAAATAAATTACCGTGCATTTTGCGTAGTGCGTCCAAAATTGTCATGTCTGGAGATGCCATATCCGGCGATGGAGTCATCACTCGTACTGTAGAAGTCATTGTCGGATCTAGACCCATAGCCATTACCCTAAGAATATCGACATTATTATACATAAACATATGAGAAATTGAATTACCCCAAAATGCCGAAACCCATAAATTAAGCAATATTCGTATTTACCTAACAACAATATCTTTAGAAGTGAAAATCCCGACAGTTTTTCCTTCGTCAACAACTAATGTCGCAGTCTGATGACGTTCTTTCATTACGCGTGCCGCATCGCGTACATTAGTTCGAATAGAGACCTCAGATGGAGCTTTCGAAAGAGTGATCGACGACAATGTCGGGAATCCGAGTTGCTCTCGTAGAACTTTCACGTATGTCGTCACATCTTTGTTGTGTACATTTTCGAATTCCGACATTGTGTCCAATACCTCGGATAATTGTTTAGAAGATTTTTGTGCGCGTTCAAGTTTCGCGAGAGCGTCTAATAGACATTCCGTAATATCCAACATTCCTATTATATCTTCAGAATTGCTATCGGTTACTGGCTTTATTATGGAGAACAAACGAAAAATGAGTCAATAAAAATCAAACATTCTATTTGATGATGCAAGTTAAAAAAAACGTAGATTAGCAAAACATCTACCAAATGACGAAATCCTCCAGCCACCATCCTGTTAAGAGCATCTGTGGCATTATGGGATGTTGTAACTGTGCATGGATCTCGAGTCATTATGTCTCCGAGACAAGTTGTTCTAGGGTCTTGTCCTTCGGCAAGCACGCGAAAAGCCAAATCTTTATCAGTGACGATGCCAGTTAATTGATCATCTTCATCAGTTACAAGGACAGCATCCGCTCTGATATTTTATAAGTTTATATTAAATTACGATATATAAAAGACGACACAATGATCATATATTTACCGCTTTACCGCCATATGTCGTGCAGCCTCGGAAGCTGTTGCGGTTTCTTTTCAAAAATAAAAAAAAAATGAGAAATTGTCAAAAAAGATCAAAATTATCAAAAAAAATCCCCAAAGAAAATACCTGATAATGTTATCGCAGGCAATGGTCTCAGACTACCCACAGTTCCATTAGACCTCGGTGGTGACTTATCAACCTTTCTTCCGGTCTGTCGTGACAACTCTTGCTCTAGTTTCTTTCTTATAGTCTCATCTTTTTTCGCTTGTCTCTTTCGTGCCAAGTCATTTGTGCCTTCTGAACAGGAAGATGATAGTTGTAAATGTTGAGAATTTATGTCGGTACTTGTACTTCGTGGACGGGGAATTCCAGTGGGGGTTCGTAACATTGTTGTAGTTACTATGATTACTACTACTACTGCTACTTATATATCTTTCAAGTATATGATTTTAATATTACACTTGCTATCTTTTATAGAAGTATGTGACCGGGATGAATATTTTCTTGTAGAATGACAACTGCTAATTTAAATTTAAATTTAAATTTAACTCTTTATTTGTTGTCGTAGGGGGGTTATTATTACTTGTCAAAGTTATTATAGTAGAGCAGTATTCAATATATAAAGAGTGGTTGGCAGTTGGTTGGAGAGTCGAGTGCGGGTGGAAAAGAGGGTCAAATACAGGTTTGTTTATCGGAAGTTAGGGAAGAATGCGAGAAATTCTCTCACCTCTATTTAGATTTACTAAATAAAGAAGGAGGTGCTAATCTTTATTTTATATGCATCATATTTCATCAAAGCATAAATGATAGGATAGCGATAGATTGAATGAGTTTAAGAAAGTGAATGATAATATATATGATGAACCAAACACATAATGGCGTTTCCTTTATCGTGGCACAGACCTCCTCCTCTGTGTGTTTGTCTGTGTCTGTTTGTTCTCTCTTGTATAAAAACAGGCTCACGTTCTGGTAAGGACAAGGAAAAGGAAACTGTGGGCATGTTTTCCGTGGATTATTGGCTTGTGCGTCGTTATTTGTTTAGCTTTAGTTTAGAGTGTGTGAATGAGAGTTTTTCTGGTCATTTTCCTGATGAGAAATCGGAGCATTCTCGTCTTTCTGCTATTCTCTGTCATAGCACCCAATCTTTATTTCTAATTATGTAATTACACTTTATACCATGTGTAATAAATGATGGTAATATGTATGCGTGTGCGCATATATGTCAACTGTCTTGTCATTATACAGATAGTATATTTAGTATCAGAAACCAGTTATAGCGAATCCGTCGAGGAGTTAGCTTCATTAAGAGTATTGTTATCAAACTAACTACACAATCATCTAGCCAACGGTCATTCATTTTCCACGCAGAAAAAATATAAAACAAACAAAAAATGATAAGAATGATTGTCGCCGATACTTTTTAATTCATTCTCCCCTTTTCTATTCTTTCTATTCTATTTTATTTTTATCTCGCACAATCAAATTTAAATTTGTGTGTTATTATATGCATAATTTGTGCGTACATATTTGTTTATATAAAGAGATAGAGATGGAGATTAAGCCCTATAAACCTGTTTGTGCATTATAGAAAACCTTATTCAATCAAATAAATTTATTGCATATCGATATACACTGAAAATTATGTCTAAGATTACGAGACTAGTTTCTTTAATTCTTGTAATTTGGGTAGCGACTATAGCTGGTAATTTCAAAATATATCAATTATCAAATGACTCTTTCTTGAATCTCATCCATTGTTATATTTGATTTTTCAAAAATGCAGCCGATATAAAAATTTTGACTCCATCTAAAGACTATTATGTCGTTAAGAACTCGAGTTCTCTGGTTACCTGGACTGTCAGCGGGACTGGTAATTATTACATTCATGGTCAATTTTCATTTAAAATACAAATTCCTCACACATTCGGTATTAAATAAAATAGTTCCCGATCAAATATCAATAAAACTCGCCGACGAACGAGCAACCAACCCAGCATTCACAGGCAACCTCGGAATCGGAAACGTCGCCACCTCCACAAAACAATTCAATTGGACTGTGGCGGAAAACTTAGTCGAAGGTGACGAATATGTGATTATATTGGTTGATCCAAATGATGTGTCGGCGAGTCCGACTCCGGTAGCAACAAGTGAAAAATTTAGCATTAAACCTGCTGGAACTGCTCCCCCAGCAAACAAGACTGATAATAATAACAATAGTAATAGTAATAGCACTAGTACTAGTACTAATACAACATCAGGATCATCACCATCAAGCAGTTCAAAGTCAAGTAGCGCATCTTCAAATAATTCCTCGTTTGGTTTTGCAACATTCTTGATGGTTGCTATTGTTAGTTTCTTACATTATTAGATTACTATTTAATATAATTTATTTAATATAATATAATATAATATATATAATATAATAATATCATTAGAGGTTAAATATTCTTAATTATCTATTATTGGAATGAATGTAATGAACAATAATAAATACATGACGTAAAATTTACTCGAAACAGCCACATGGTTTTAATATCTTACCATATATACAAGAATCTATGCTATTTTTGCCTCGTTAAAGAATATTCTCCTTCGAAAGCTTTTGTATTTTATTAGTATACCAATGCTATTAAAACAAATACCTTCAGCAATGTTGATATTCAACTTTGAAAGGTAGAATTTCTACCAACAAAAAAAAACGAAAAATTTAGACTCTTGCAGTAAGTAATATTGAAGAACAGCTTGGAGACTTTTTAATGACGTTATATTCAATGAATCATATTTCTTTAATTCTTGTAATTTGGGTAGCGACTATAGCTGGTAATTTCCAAATATATCAGTTATTTAATGACTCTTTCTTGAATCTCATTCATTGTTTTATTTGATTTTCAAAAATGCAGCCGATATAAAAATTTTGACTCCATCTAAAAACTATTATGTCGTTAAGAACTCGAGTTCTCTGATTACCTGGACTGTCAGCGGGACTGGTAATTATTACATTCCTGGTCAATTTTCATTTAAAATACAAATTCCTCACATATTCGATATTAAATAAAATAGTTCCCGATCAAATATCAATAAAACTCGCCGACGAACGAGCAACCAACCTAGAATTCATAGGCAACCTCGGAATCGGAAACATCGCCACCGCCACAAAACAATTCAATTGGACTGTGGCAGACAGCGTAGTCGAAGGTGACGAATATGTGATTATATTTACTGATTCAAATGATGTGTCGACTCCGGTAGCAATAAGTGAAAATTTAGCATTAAACCTGCTGGAACTGCTCCCCCAGCAAACAAGACTGATAATAATAACATAGTAGCAATAGTAATAGTACTCGTACTAGTAGTACAACATCAGGATCATCACCATCAAGCAGTTCAAAGCCAAGTAGTGCATCTTCAAATAATTCCTCGTTTGGTTTTGCAATCTTCTTGATGTTTGCTATTGTTAGTTTTTTTACATCATTATTAGATTACTATGGTGCATAACACCTAAAGTCATCAAACGTTTGTATTTTATAAAATGGATAAATTTCTTTAATAAGAAGTAAATACAAAATTTAAATTTTCTATTTACTTGGCAAAGAAGTTTATCCATTTTGTAAAATACAAACGTTTGATGACTTTAGGTGTTATGCACCATATTTAATATAATATAATATAATATCGATATAATATAATATAATATCGATATAATATAATATAATATCGATATAATATAATATAAATCGATATAATATAATATAATATCGATATAATATAATATAATATAATATCTATAATATAATATAATATAATAGATCTATTATAATGACAACAACATGACGTAAAATATACGCGCGTGCATCTATGTACCCCCACCTGATTTGGTTATGATAAAAACAGCCAATAAGAATGCATAAATTTTTGATCAACCCGGCAAAACAAACTAACAAAAAAATGAAAAAAATACAAGAAACAAATGGTCCGGAGTACGAATAAAAAATGTCGAGAAGATAATTTTATATATAACCTGGATCACCATCCCTAACCGTAACCCTAACCCTAATCTTAAAACCATTCTTTAACCTTAAGCTTTATTACAGTAGAAATTTCCGAAAATATGCAATGCTATTGGTTATTTTTGTTATTACCAAATCGGGTGGGGTGTATGTAGATGCATCCTGAAACAGCCACATGGTTTTAATATGGCATATGCTCTTACCATATATACAAGAATCTATGATATTTTTGCTTCATTAAAGGAGATTCTTCGAAAGCTTTTGCAATTGATTAGTATATATCAATGCTATACCTTCAGCAATATTGATATTCAACTTTGAAAGGTAAATATTTCTACCAACAAAAAAAACGAAAAATTTAAAGACTCTTGCGCAGTAATTAATATTGAAGAACAGCTTGGGGATTTTTTTGTTGCATGCTGTGTATTGTGCTAATTTCAGAATTGAACTGATAATTTATCTTCCAAGATCTAACACAATAAGCTTTATAATGATGTTATATTCAATGAATCATATTTCGAAACTTAAAATACAATTACTTATTTTATATTGAACTCATATTATCCTCAAATATTGATTGTATGGTGCATAACATCTTAAGTCATCAAACGTTTGTATTTTATAAAATGGATAAACTTCTTTACTAAGAAGTAAATACAAAATTTAATCCGTGAATATGCTCAGAAAAGGCCTATTCTATCATATTCACGGATTAAATTTTGTATTTACTTCTTAGTAAAGAAGTTTATCCATTTTATAAAATACAAACGTTTGATGACTTTAGATTTTATGCACCTTATCTATTTTTTATGCACGAGAAATAGTTGGACATTTAGATATTTAAATAGTATAATACTGATATGGTACTACAAGTGAGTATTCTGTATGGCAAATTATGGTAGTTAAAATCAGCAAGATCTGGAAATAGATTAGGATAAAAAATAAAGAACAAGCGTTCGAATGCTTTCTAAAATTTGCGAATGATCCTCCAAAAGATCAAGACTATTTCCGCTTGGTGAAGCAAAATACAATTATTCTTGAAATTTTCTTCTACAAATTTGTTTCGATTTCAAATTGTATAAAAGATATAATAAAAAAATACTGTAATTATGTATAAAGAAGTGAAAGAAAATTATGTTTGGGATTGGATTGGATTACTATATTATTAATATTAATCCAATCCAATCCAATCAGATTCAATTTTAAATAATACCCTTGTAAAAATTTTTAATTGATAAAATTTACATATTAATTTCTAAACGTAAAGAATTTATCAGAAATGTCTATCGTTATAGTATTACTTTGGAAAATCAAAATTGGATAAGCTAGAGGTGTTAACTATAAATAGTCACCTATTGAGCCACTTGTATATACCAATTAAAAAAGATCAAGTCTTTGAAAAAACAAATCTACACCATATTCGTTAGAACGCGCGTCACGAGTTTATTCATTTCAACTTTTCATCTTAAATTTTTTGACAAAATGCCAACTTCATACTCCATCCAAGAGCGCATCACACGAGAAAACCAAGCGCGTCATCCCCGATTTGTTCTTGGAATGCCTGTCTATGCTGCTACGACCACTGCTGCACGAACTACGACAAAGAGTATCGAGAGTGAAAAACAAAAAGAACCAAATTACACTAAAGTTACGAAAAATTCAAAATCAAGCAGCGCCACCACCAACGGAAGAGGCCTGCAACTCAAAAGTCGACGCACGCACGTTGCAATTAACTACGAATTTACTAGCAAGCCGACAACTACTGCTGCCGTTGCTACTACTGCTGCTGCTGCTGCTGCTGCTGCTGCTGCTGCTGCTGCTACTACTACTAAGGAAGGCACGTCGAGTATCGCTGATCCGACGACGAAAATACATGACGAGAACAGCAGTAATAATATGATCAACAGTTATTCTATTTCTGCTGCTGCATCGCCACAAAAAAATCTTATATTGAAGGATTTAACGAATATTGTTGGAGTGTCATTACCAGAACAAAAAAAGCATCTCGAATCAAATTCCGATAAGGTCACACTTTCAATTCCTAATGAAAATCAAAGTGTAAAGCCGAATACAATACATAATTCAAAAAATAGTGGGGCTCTTAATTCTATCGACGAGAAAAAAGACGAAAGCAAAAAGAAATCGCCATTTGAACTCTATCGTTCGAAAAAAAATTGTCTTTCAGTCACGGATTTCGCAGCACTCGCTTGGTGCGAGACTCAATTTGAGTTTACCTTAGCCGACGGGGGGAGACGACAAACTGAGGTTATGGCCAAGGGATCCGAAATTCACCTGACTTTGGAGTTGGAAATTCATGAAATAGTTGAAATTGAACTGAAAACGAGAGAAGATCGTTGGGGGGATAGACTACTCAGCCTGCTTACCGGCCTTTCCGAAATTCAAGTACAAGGAAAAACACGTGAACTACCGATGTTTGGGTTTATTGAACAATTTTTAGTTTTTGGGATTATTGATGAAGTTGAGAAACGTCCAGTATCAAGCGAGGAATCTGGTCCAGTTCAAGAGCCTCTAGTTAAACGTCAAAAACTTGGGATAGAATCATCGTCAGCACCTTCCAAGACTGCATTATTCTTATCAGATACAAAAACCCGCAGCAAACCTTACGTTTTTCCAAATTCTACGCCAGGCAATAAGTATCAATTGATGCTTTACAAACGATTGTTTGATGAATTTATGTTATATGGCATCAATGAAAACCGCTTATACAAAACGGCTATAATTGATCCAGATGCACCATTTTCCAGAGAATTTGGTAATCACGTTCATAAGACCTTGGCTTCTTTAGATAACCCCGAGAAAATGGATAAAGAAGTAATACAGAATTTTGACAGTGATGATAAAGCAAACAAGAGCAAAAAAGGCACCAAAAAGATAATGATGAACAAAGAGGATGCAACAGCTGGTGAACATCCCGAAAATACAATCCGAACATTAATGCTACGCGTTAAAGATCAGATTACCAAATTCACAAAATCAAGCAAAGAGTTAGAGTTAAGTTACCGGTATCAAGAGAATGGCAAAATCATTGGAACTCATAAATACACATATGACGGTATTGCACTCCAAAAGTATTTGAAGCATTGTGGTGATTTTTGGAAGGGGTTAAGGGTTGCTACAGGTGTTGAGATAGAGGAGGCGTGGAAATGTTGTGTTTGCGATTATGTTGACGTGTGTGAATGGCGAGCGCGTAAGGCTAAAGAACTCGAAGGAAAAAAATAAGTTATCATGTCATTAATGAATATTCTATCAAAGTTAATCATAAGGAAAGTTCCTTATCAACAAGAGTACTCAAAATATATTTCTATGTATGTTATAAATGTAGCAAACTTTGGTTTACTAGGTGGTTCTTAGAAGGAGACCAAATATTTCTGTATTATTAGTATTTCTACGGAAATACGACTAAAAATATATTTTGACAAAAAGCAGTCTCTTGAAAGACATTTTTTTTTTTTAGAAAAAGGTTAAATAATATTTTCCTGTTTTTAGAAAGTTTAAATAAATGTTTTGAATGATATAATAGAGACTGCTTGCTGCTATCGCTACAATTTCTCAAAAAGAATTTTCTGGCTTCTGAAATTTATGCTGCAATTTTCAATAACATCTTGATGGGTTGCAATTAGAAAATGTATTGTGATAAATATTTTTATTTTGAAAATGATAAACTGTGAAAGAGCTTGATTTTAGCAAAATGTACTATTCAGTGTTTATTATTAATAAAACTTTCAATCCCATAATCTACTTTTAAAAAGCAAACTTTTTTTTCTCCATTAATGTCTTGTATGAATTAAGGAAAATCATGAACTATCAATTTGTAATGCAGAGAATGAAAAAAAATGACTAACAAAACAATGGTTGTTGCATCACCGGCTGTTATTTATAAGAAGTTGCTTACATCCATTACTTTTGTGCAAAATAAATATAAAGTGATCAGGCTTTAAAATATACGATTGCTATTGGGAAATTTGGAATCTTTCAAAATCGATAATTAATGTTGACCATAGTTAATTTATTTAATTGGATAATCGTATCCTGCCATACTGATTATTTCAAGACGAATTGATTCATTCTATATGACATTCGGGATTCCGTCCTGATTTTTTTTTATCGAGATAATTTATCGAGAGCGATTGACTGATAATCAGTCAGAGGTCAAGAGATATCGACTGATAAGTCAAGAGATATCGACTGATAAGTCAGTCTGGAATTACGGATATCAAGAGATATTTATTGCCTATCTAATTATTGTCTTGTAAAAATAAGCAATCACCCCCAACTTCACATAAGTCGCAAAGAACCATTGTCAATTAAAACAAATTGATAGCCTCCTACTTCAATTATGTCTTTAATTAGTGTGACTGCGTCAAAAAGACAAATTCAATTGCGTAAAGATTGATGTTTGCCCCTCCAAAGTCTTTCGCTTTTCCACCTTGTCCTTGGTAATGTCAAAGAGCATCTTTTTAAATTTATGGCCACCTTGACGGTCAGCCGTCTCCTTGGCATTGTGTGGACGACTCCCTTCAGTATACACCATTTGGTATCATTCGTCACGCCAATCCCATCACTTCTTTGATTATTTACATGATGGATTAAAGGTTTCAGCAAGGTCAAATGCCATAAGATTTAGGTCTCCCATGATGTTCTAACTGTTATTGCTACAACCGAAATATTCTAAATCAGCACCCAAAGTCATGCGTAGATTCGGAAATTTCTTTGATACACGCGTATGATAATACAAGCCCTTCCAGCCAATCAAGACTACCATCCAGATTTCCTAATTCGCAAGCATGTATAACCCCCCCCCCCAACAGACCACAAACTTACCCATCTCGACTTTCACAGATGTGATTGCTAAAACTAATCGCAATAATCTCTGTACATTGAACTCTGTCTTTTGAAAGTCATGACAAAAGATTGCAAATAATTCGTTTCTTTTAGTAAGCGTCCTGAATTATAGCCGAATATTGAAGATTTCGAAGTTTCTTGAAAACGATGTCTATTTTCCATATTTTCTGTCTTCTGCTGATGACAATGCCAGTTATTAAATGGTTTCATTGGTGTGATTTCCTTGATAATCATGTGCATTATTTACAAGTTGCATTGTCTTTCGGAATGGTATATGTCGCTTGTTGTATCTAATTTTTTATCATCCAACTAAATAAGGATATCATATTAAGGAAAAATAATAGTAGTACAAAATTAGATAGCGTGATTGAAAAATATAACGAAAATAAAAAAATGCGTTTAAAATACCTGTCGACTACTGGAATTATAATCAACTGTTAGATGAATGTCTTAAAGAAAGAACGAATGAACTATATAAACAAACAAGAAATAAAACATTATTTGTTATTTTGATTATTTTTCCTTTTTATTATATATATATATATATATATATTATTTTAGTTTGAAATAGAAACCAATTTGTTGAATTCTTAAAATTTCAAACTATGAAATATGTGCTTGCAAATTATGTAATGGTAGGTTGATCTATTTTTTTATAGACAAACCAATAATGGAAAAGTAAAAAGAATCAGAAATTCTAATCCTTTATCAAAACGTCCAATTTGAAAGCAGAGACTATCGATTGCTACCAAAAAGAAAATAAATAATATATCATTATATGTTATCACCATCAATAACCAAAAAAAATAAAATCACTATTAAAAAAGACTCACCATACTCCGATCCCATCCCAGTCGATCCCAAGTAGCTTTTGCGCTTTTCAACGTCTCACTCTTAAGCTTCTCGTACTCCTTTTTCTTTGTCTCATCGTCATCATTACCACCAAGTTTCTGCGGCAACCGTTTTATCTCGGTACCGTTCTTGAAAAGAATTAATGTTGGCAAATCGAGACTTGTAGGCGATAGCGAGATGTTGTATTCTTGTGCTAGTACCGAGAACCTCTCTAGATCGATTTTCCCGAAATGTATGTTTTCTGTTGTGTATCTAATTGTTATTAATTTAATAATGAATTCGCGTTGCTTATTTACATTAGAAATAAAATTGAATAAGAAATTAGTTACTTTAATGATGTTTTCGCAAGTGTCCCCTCGAAATACCGGCACGCAGGACTCCACATCGCGAAGAATAGCACAATCCAGTATTGATCATGAATTTCATTTTTTTTGTTACTACTACTACTATTATTACCCTTCTCGTCATTTATTTGTTCGGATGAAGATGATGACAATTCTACGATTTTAGAAGTCTCGAATTGATTTCTTTCGATTTCATATAAATCATCTCCAGACAACTCTACAATTTCTGAGGGTCCCTGATAATTAGGCTGCGGCAGAATTGAAAATAACGCTATGTAGCATAATTGGATCAATTAGCAAAGCGATGGAAATAAACGAATTATTTTACTATCGAAAGAAACTCACCACCCCACATTATCCCATAAACAATGCTAAACCCAGATCTACCATACATGTATAACAATAAAATATTCACGATTTTCCCATACAGAAAAAGTATCGAAAGAAATTCTTCAGCGCCGGTCGATGACCGATATTTTAATACAATTAGGGAGAGAACGAGACCATATAGTTTAAGTTCAGGTGGCTTTATTAATTCAATCATGATCAAATTAAGTAAATCATAATTATTTTATTATTATTATATCAAGCTTCAATATTGGATAATACAGTATATCAAAGGAATATATCTTCTTTATTCTACTATGGTTGTTTTTTGTCAACAGTAAAAAGAATTGTTTACCTCTAGTGAAAAGTCCAAGAACCGTGAGCTCAAAAAAGGTATATATCGAACAGCAAAAAACGGCAAACAGAAAAGTAAGTTCACGATATAATGCGGTAAGAGTAACCGCTGTTTGAGTTCTGACAAGGAAGTCATTGTTGTGTTATATCGTATATCGATATGGTTGATTTCAACTTTTATGCTGTCTATAGCGATAGATGTATTTTTTCATCTATAATCAGCTGATTTTTGCAAATTTTATAATTGTGGAATTACAATAATATTATCGTGAAAATGTTAGAACCAGAAGAACGTGATCATCAAATACGAAGAAAATACAACAAGACTAAAAAGATTGGAGAGGGTACTTATGCCGATGTCTTTGAAGGTAACGTCAACATTCGTTTAATACTTCTTCGAAACTAGTATAGTTAGCTTTATTTACTCTAGAAACTATCATTATTTAAAATGTAGGCACAGAAATAGCGACCGGAAGAAAAGTCGCCATCAAGAAAATAAAATTAGGTAAATCTCAAGCTGGCGGAGCAAACGGGATAGAATTGTCTGCTGTTCGAGAAATAAAGGCATTGCGTGAACTGCACCATCCGAACGTGATCGAAGTATTTATTGTCTTGTGTTTTTAGCTATTATTCAACATTCTTTCTGGGGATTTTGGCCTTTGGATTGATTATCAATTCACTGATCGTTTATACTCCCAAATATTGAAAGCTGTTGGACTGTTACTCATACCGAGGAAACTTGAACCTTGTGCTCGAGTACCTCGATTCTGATCTTGAGATGATAATCAAGGATAAAACGGTGATCTTTGAATCGGGTCACGTAAAAAGTTGGATGTTGATGACACTTCGAGGCCTAGATCATATTCACCGAAACTGGATAATTCACCGGGTACTTTTGCTGCTTCATTTCTATGTTCACATATCTATCATTCACCTCCCATCCTTAAATAAAATACCTTGATAAAATCATTCAGGACATGAAACCAAATAACTTACTAGTCGCGCCGGACGGACAACTGAAAATCGCAGATTTCGGTCTAGCACGCGACTACGGCGACGGTCAAGAAAAGAACATGTCTAGCCAAGTTGTCACTCTGTAGGTTTCTCTTCTATACACATTCTCTTGCGCTCTACATACACACATACCTACACACGCACACATAATGTACATGCACAAATTTCGTGCACGTCATTATTATTATCATCCCCACATAAAAAAAACGTGATATACAGACATTTATTATGACTGAAAAAATAGATGGTATCGCGCCCCAGAACTGATATTAGGGACGCAACAATATGGAACGGCTGTTGACATCTGGTCTGTTGGTTGTATTTTTGCAGAATTGATGTTACGCGTGCCGTTGTTCGCCGATGAGAGTGAGTTTGTGGTGTTGGATAAGATGTTTCAGGCGTTGGGTACGCCGTCGGAGGAAGATTGGCCGGTATTTAGTTTGATTCTCGTTTAATTCATATATTGATCATTCTAGCGCTAACTTTTTCACTAATCGATTTAACTAGGGAATGTCGCTACTGCCTAAAACTTTTAAATTCAAAAAATATCCAAAACCGCCACATCTATTTCAAGCTGCCACCAAAGCAGCAATAGAACTTATTGACAAGATGTTGGCTTTTGATCCGAACAAACGAGTGACTGCGAAAGAGGTTGAACGAAATAATAATTCAATATCTTTTAAATTAGTCACAAAAAATAGTTGTTGATTATTTTGTTGTGTTATCATTACTATTATTTTATTATTTGTTCCTATATATAAAATAGGCACTAAGTCACACGTATTTCAAAGCAAAGCCGTATCCAACACATCCATCAAAGCTACCAAAATACTCGCGTCCAAAATCTGATGACAAACACAAAACATCGGTTCACTATTACTCCTCATCCGAGGGCTCGGCAACTTCCTCACCTGTCCTTGCTGTCCCCGGCGGAGGCGGAGCAGGACCAGCCTCATCGTCAGTCGAGCCGTCTTCATCGTCCTCGTCACAACAATTATCGTCCGTTCGAAAGAATAAGCGAAAAGCTGAGGATCTAGGTAACGACAACCACTCTCAAAAGAAGATGCATGGTTCCTCCTAAGTGTTGTGTGACATTGCTTCTGCACTGCTGCTGCTTCCTTTCTTTCTCTTTCGTCTCTGTTTTCTCGTTCATGTTTGCTCAAATACCTCATTGGGCTTCGGTCGTAATAAATTTCTTCCGGTTGGTTGTTTGGTTATTTTTTTAGATAATGATGATGATGATGGTGATGATTATGAAGATGAAGATAGTGAAGATAGTCGAAATCAATATCAAGATCAAGTTTGTCAGGAACAACGCGGACACGATAATCATAGTACACATCGAAAGAAAAGACCACGTAAACGCATTGCTAGGATATTGAACTATTCTAGCGCGTCTAATGTTTCAGAGTAGTAAAGAAAGTATCCTCTCTTTATTTATTTTTTTTTAGTTTATGGTTTTCTTGATAATTTACAATTTCTTTTCTCTTTTTGGAGATCAAACAAAATTCCGAGTACAAGTATTGGCATAGTTTATTCCCTACCCTCTTTATTGAACATTTAACATTAAAAAATCTTGAAGATATTAACAATTAGATATTTTATTGCTTTGTATTATTAATTAACAACTCAAATCTAGAAAAATAGAGAATTAAAAGATAATTATATTATTATACACTTAATGAATAATTACAAAAGTATTTAAAATCTATTTTTATATTAGGGAAGTGTCTTTTATCAGGTGATTTTAGGGAGTCAACGATGATTATATAAGCAATATAAATAATATTATATAATATATCTATATCAGGTGGGATGAGCCTTATAATAAATTGAAATCACCTGATAAAAGACACTTCCCTTACAAACTAATTAATTAATGCAAAATAAATAAATAAATAAAATAATTTACATAATACTCGATGAATGTGTTTCACCACCACCACCTTGACCAAGTCTATTATGATTATTACTTTGACCGACAAAATAATTTGAATTCTGTGGCGGTAACATCATCATATTATCGTTATTACTAACATCATTATTGTTGTTAATATTAATGTTGATATTGTTATTGATATTGTTATTGATATTATTAACTCCACTACTGCCACCATGACCACCAACTCCACCTCCATCCAAATTTCTTAATGCCAGTTTTTCACTGGTACTCCAATTATTCAGTATTGTGAACACAGCATGCTCGTGTGGTTGATTTGCCATAAACTGCTTTGAATATTTTTGTTGATTGCCTTGGCTTCCATATATTTCTAATCAGAATATTTCAATGATTAATGTTTGATTAATGATTATGTATTGCGATAGAGAACAAAACTCCGTGAGAAAGTCACGTTTAATGCTTGTCACCAATAAGCCAAAAGAATAATACCTTTCAATAAAAACCCAGCAACAAGACACCACAAATCATTATGAGCACTCTTGCTCAACACATAAGCGGTCTTCAACATCTTCTCCGCCTGTTCGTTTTGCGTGTGATAAAACAACGTGCCGAGCACCGCGAGTGCTATTGTCTTTAGTTGGTCGTTACATAGCGTGGCTGAGAGTTTTAGAGATTCGAATAAGTGTTCCCTTTTTATGAATGAGATAAAGATTACAGGTTAGTATGGTCATGATTTTTTTTATGAATGGAACAAAGATTACAGGTTGGTATGGTCATATTTATATATTTAATGAGATAAATACCTTGTCCGAACTATTTCGTTACTAGCCAACGCTTCTAATAAGCGGAACGCCGATTTCAAGCTGTCTACATTACTATTCTCGATCACTAATTCTTGACGAATTTCGTTTATAATGGTTTCAGCCTGGGTAACAATAACATATATTTCATTAATATCTACGATCGAATAAAATTCTAAATTCTAAAAATAATTATACTTACATGATCCTGTGTGTGGGGATCCTGGTTGTTTGTCAACGTGTTTCCAAGTGCAATTAGCGCGCGATTTATTTTCGCCAGATTTATTAGTTCTTTGTTGGTAGAGATCTTTTAGTAAGAATGCATTTGATATATTGGTAAGTAAGGTATTATTACTGCGATGCAATTCTTCCTATGAGAAAAACAACAAGGCAAATAATTACTTTTTCCACAGTCCGATAATAGTTCCTAGCTTCGATCACTTTACCCACACTTTGATTCAGTAGACCAAGTGCAAGTACAATGCTCGCTTCAAAATGTTGCCATATCGAGTGAGTCGTCGTCCAATTAATCAGTGTGGAAAGAACCTTTATTTATTTGATAATACAATTTTCGATTTTAATATTCAAATTGCGTATTTTGATTACATAGTAAGTAGTAAGTCTTACTCTTTCGGCATCGTCAAATTCGGATTTTAGTAAATGCACGTCAGCCAGATGTAGTAACATGTACGCTTTCAATTGAACATAATTTCTTTTGGTTTGTATCACATCTTGTAACTCGAGATGATTATCTGTTTCGTGGTTTGAGTAATAATTAATATTAATGTTAACAAATTTGATAAGAAATCACGAGATCAATTAAAGTTACTTACCATTAGACTCTATCTCCTCTTCATTACCAAAAAAAATAAATATTAGCAAAAAAAAAAAAAAGAAAAAGAAAAAGAAACGAAATAAAAATGTAATCGTATTACTTTCAACAATCTTTAATCCTTCTGTGAGGAAGATGCTAGATCGTACATTGGCAGTATCTCCACGATTACATATACCAGATATTAGGAATGTAAGCGTGTAAATTTCTGCTTTTGATAGCCATCGAATGCTGACGGGCAGTGTATTGGTTGATGTCGACGTGGATTGAAACGAGTTCGATGATGAAGAAGTTGGTGCAGCCGAGATATATATCTATCACATATAATATTTAGTATTTTTGATTACCAAATTCAACCGAACATCATTCTTTCCTTTCAAAGCAAAAAATAATTACCGTAATATACCCTTTCAACTCATCCAAATCTTCTTCACGCCGTTCATCCAAAAGTTTATGCACCTCCGACAACTTCTCCAGCGCAAACTTCATATTTCCGGTGTGCATATGATAGGCGATGAACAGCAGTGAATAATGTAAATGTAAATGTCTGTTCGTTATTGGGAAAATGTGATATGTTTGTGGAGGCTGACTTGACGGCGGTGGGAAATATATTGTGGATAGTTCGGCGAGTGTGTGTTGTGCTATCGTGTAGTTTTGGTTGGCGAATGCGTATTGCACTACTGCGATTAATAGGCATGCCTGTAACATCAGCAATAATTTAATAAATAATAAATTAAATAATAATTGTAATAAATAAGTAAAAAAAACCTTCATCTCGATATCTCCTCGTTGATCTGCCAACGACTCTGCCTGTTTCAGTACCGACAAACATCCATCGAAATCCGAATCCTTATGACAAAGACCCGCTCGTTGTATCAAATAATGGTATGTCCAATTTGGCATATTATTTCTGTTAGAAACCAAAATAAAACAAAGAGGAGTAAAATAGGTTACGATTGTGCTTCATCGAAATACACAGACATCTAAAACGATAATTTTGAGAGATGATTGTGATGAATGATTTATTCTACACACAAAGAAAAATCACCCACTCCATTGCTTCTGCAGTGCTCTTTTTTAAGAGATTCTTGGCTGCTTTGATGTTATTCGTACTTATAAAAATTCTGCTCTGGAGATTGTATATCTGAAATTTTAGCTCGTTGACATTGTCCATCTGATTAAGTAATTGTTTTTTTAGTATTATCATCAATATTATTATTAGGATAAGATAACATTCAATTTCTTTCTAAAGCATCTATTTGTTGTTGAATCCAAGACATACCTTTTGGGCAATCAATATCTAAAAAGAGAATTACATAATCAATAAGAAAAACTATGATCCCATTAACAAATAAATATAATGATATATCAAAAATAGAAACACACAGCTTTCTGTAGATGCATTTCAGCCTCGACAATATTTTCCGTGAACCAAAATAAAATTTGGCTTAATCGAAATCTCGTTTTCAATTCGACCGCGGGCATGAATTGATTTCCGCTATTATTATTATTCGCGAGAACCGCGTCCAGACACTTGATAGCAGCGAGCACATGTTTTTGATGTTGCGGCGATAACTTTGAAAAATCGGTGAGAGAGGAAGAGTTTGGAAGTGAGGCTGCTTGTGAAAGATGGTGTTCTGCAAGGTACCATAGTATTTGGTATGGAAGAAGTGGAGGAGGTTCCTGTGGCTGACGATATTGTAATGGTGAAGGGGGACGCGTCGTTGTTGTCTTTTGTTGATGCATTAGATTTGGGGTGACAATTTGTGTGTGGCTTGGAGGTTGGGGTTGGTGCTGGAGGTGTGTCTGTAAAAGTGGTGGTGGTGGTAGTGGTTGCTGTGAATGGTGGGAAATGTGTGGCGACGAGAGTTGATTGATGTGTGGCAAAAGGTGTGAAGTTAATTGTGGAGGAGGAAGTGTTTGTGAAGAAACTATTTGTTGTTGTTGCCGTAGCTGGTGTTGCTGTGGCAGGTACTGTGGTTGTTGGGTATAAAAGTGTTGTTGCTGCTGCTGTTGTTGTTGTTGCTGTTGTTGCTGTTGCAACTGCCTTTGATATTGAGTTTGAAAGTTCGAATAAATGTTATTCTGCGGACTTCCATAGTTTGGAGTATTGAATGTGGTGGAATTATCATTAGCAGCAGGCGGATTAACACTGTTATTATAACCCAAATGTGTTTGCGGTAATTGTTGTCGTTGTTGAGCGTTGTAATGTGACGGAAATATGTAATTTGAGGAAGACAACGACGAAGACTTTGATGGTATATAAAAATTATTATTATTACTATTATTATTATTGTTATTATTATTATTATTATTTGAAGTTTGGTGATATTGGTAATGCTGTTGCAATTGCTCTTGCTGTTGTTGCAACGGCTGCTGTTGCTGTTGCAACGGTGGCTGCTGCTGTTGCAACGGTGGCTGTTGTTGATATTCCCATTGTTGATTATTGGACCATGGTTGTTGTGGTGGTTGTTGTTGAAATCCCGTTGGGAATTGAAACTGTGACATTTGGATTAAATCAAAATATTTCAAATAATTATATACGATAAAGCGAAAGGACCTTATGTTTGTTTACACGAAAAGATCTCCAGCAGGAAGAAGTTACACGAATAATAAACGTTACACGGCACATAATATTTACTATATATCGATATCTTGATATTTCGAGGGTTTACTGTTTTGACAGTGTTCTTGATCCAATTCGAAAATTATAAATTTAATATATAACCGCGTTCTTTATTAATTACTATATATAAATAAAGATCAGCTGAGCCGATTTTGTCAAAATCAACCGACTAGGACGAAAAATCGACTTTTTGATTATCAACCAGAATCATTATTAGGGCAGAAACATCTATTAAATACTTGGTAAGTCCCGACCGATCAACGACCCAGGGCAAATCGATGAAATTCATTTCAAATGTAATAGTATATAACCAAATGATAATATGATATTATCGTCTTAATAATTTATCTTGTACTTTTTCCCTCCATTTTAATATTCTCCATACAATTAATATATACGCAATTGTCAGTTCACTTCTAGCAAATATCCAACGCCATTTCATCACCTTCCTCCAATCTTTGACTAAGGCATTAATCTTTGAATTCCAATTTGCTCGATTTCTCCAACCACCAAACTGACGTTCATCACCCACCAAAGAATCTTTAGTGATAATTTCTACGGCCAAGTTGCCACGACATTTAGGACACACGGGAGCCGGTCGTGATGATTGCATTTGACTCGGTGGCATGTTGAAAGTTGGTATACCACGCGGCAATCCCATCGTGAGCCATCGGAACATACAAGGCTTGTGTGCTACATGATGCGGTATATTACAGTAACTCTCCAGTTCACCGAGACAACTCTCATCGCCGAATTCATCCTCTTCCATGTCTGTTGTGGTATGTGTGCCTATACCAACCCCCAGGCAAAAGCAATCATCATCTTTTGATTCGGGTGGTGGTGGTCTGCCTCGGATGGTGAAGCTGCTCGTGTTACGTATATGGACGAAATGTCGTAGCAGGAAAAAATGTAGAAATTCTTCTACTACCAATGCAGGAAAATAAAGCGAAAATAGATTGGGAATAAATTTAAATAACGAAGGAAGTCTTGTTGTTTGTGGTGAAGGTAGTCGCTACAACCAAAAAAAAAATATGATCGTGTGAGTGATTAACACAAGAAAAGCAATCGTCGATTCGGAAGAAATCGATAGTCATTCTAACCCTTGCGTTTAGCCATCGTAAAAGAACGTATACAATCTTGAATAAAATAAATATTACTCGTTATTAAGTATATTTCCTATTCTCATTACCCATTCACCCCCTTAAATTAATTTCCTCCACTAAACAGCTTTTTCGTGATTCATTAACTTCCACAACCATAAAAATCTATTTACATGACGTACCGTACAGAATTCTCTTATTGACACGCATACATAGTAAACTAGATAGACTGACTCACCATCATATGAGTGAACGCTATAAACTTTTTCTCGTCATCCGCCAAACGTTTTCGAAAAAGTAAGGGAGCGCCTCCTCTGGCATTATGCATTATCAGATATGCTGTAATTGGATTGTATTTCACGTTGCGAGACAAGAATCAACCGTGATGTTTCATGTATACTTTAGTTAACGAGAACGGGAACACCTTCAAAAACTGACAAAATGATAACTTTCGGTTGCCAAACAAACACACACACCTTTAGTCCATGAACTAAGAGCCCATGAGATCGCTATAACGATCTTTGCATATTCCATTGGTCGCATGTGTATCCAACTAAAATTCGCACTTTAATAATATTAGAAAGTGTCGAGTTTCGGTCATCTGACTTCGGGAAGTCATTGTTCTTTGATGATGACGTCACTCACACGAAATCAATAAATTACATAATTAGAATTTAGTCTAAACGTAAAAATGCAAGAAATCCCCGTTATCGATTTTTCATCATTCGAAAACGACCAATCGACCTGTGCGCAGAAAATCAAAAGTGCAAGTGAATCCGTCGGATTCTTTTATTTGCGAAATCATGGAATTCCTGATACGATGATTAATGAAATGTTTAGTCTTGTGAGTGTTCGTCTTCCTTTTCACAAATTTTAAGATCCTTTTTTACAAATTTATTTATGAAATTTATCATAAATAAGTCACAAAGATACTTTAATCACCCAATCAACGAGAAAATCTTGCACGAAATAAATGAAGAAAATCAAGGGTATTCGCGGATGCATCAGGAAATTCTTGATCCTAAAAATCAGAAGATCGGTGATTTTAAAGAGTAATTGTTTTCTTGTTTAACTGTCTGTTATTTAATATTTAACTATTTGTTCATTTACCTTTTCGGGTAATTATTTGTTAAATATTATGTTCACTTAGAGCCTTCAATTTTGGTAAAATAATAAACGGCAAACCGTCACAAATACTACCACCAATATTCCAAGAAAATATGGAATTACTGTCGTCGTTCGAACAGGCAAGTAATAAGTTCATTCAATCACTTGCATCTTCTATCCAACTACCATTATCTGTTCATTAATTAAAATGATAAGCAAGTTTTTTTTGCCATAACAGATTCCTAATCAATTAGGATATATTTTGTTTATAGGAATGTCACAATCTATGCCTAAAAGTATTACAGACATTTGCAATCGCATTGGAAATTCCTGAATCAGAAGGAGGCAAGAATTGGTTCGAATCACGACATTCATATGACCGGAAATCGGGCGATACACTTCGAATACTTCATTATCCGCCCATGAAAACTTTTGATTCAGAAGAAATGATACGTGCTGGAAGGTGCATTCTACACTCATAATACAAACCATTCAATCAATTGTGACCTTGCCTAAACTTAACCATACTAAAAATTCCTAGTCACTCTGATTACGGATCACTCACAATTCTATTCCAACAAGAAATCGGCGGACTAGAAATACAAGCACCAACTACAAAAACGAACAACAACACCACACGCTGGATACCAGCACCAATTATCCCCGGATGCATTCTAATAAATCTTGGAGACCTCTTGGAATTTTGGACCAAGGGATTACTCAAATCCACTAAACATCGTGTCGTGTTTCGTTCGGATACTTGCAAATCTGATCGTTATTCAATCGCATATTTTTGTCATGCAGTTGATGACGTACCATTGATTCCAATTCCTAGTAATTCACTGGCAATAAATGCTGGTAGCCGTAGGATTGGTGCAAATGATAGTGGTAATGATGGTAATGTAATCACGGCTGGTCAGCATCTGAGAAAAAGGCTCGACGAAACTTATATTTATTTTTAGTAGTACGATGATCATATTAAATAACGGTGATCATGATCATAATAAAAAATGATAACGTGATTTTTTTCTTCAATGAATTCATTTTAACATTAAGAATAACATGATTTTCATTGTATAAAATGTAAATTCTGCCAGGTTTTGTGGATCTCGGAAAATTCTACTGTAATATTAATTAACATTAAAAGATTGGTTTTAGGATTAGGATTAGGATTAGGGTTAAAGTTAAGATACATATTGTATATAAAATTGTCTCCCCAACGTTTTTAATTAATACTCCAAGCTATATTTAGGCACCTGTTTCTCGTATTTTTCGCAGTTCTTGTATTTTTTCTTTTCTTGTGTCGGATTTGTTTTGCCGGTCTGATCAAAATTTTTGCATTCTTATTGGATGCTGATCAAAAAATTACGCGACACAGATTTCTTGCGTGCAATTCATAAGCAGATGTCGTCATTTACCATACCAATTTAATGCGTTAGTAAGTCACGATTACCTATAAGTAACGATAATGTATGTTAAATTAACGAATCAAATTTTCCGACGAATTGAAAATGCCGTGGAGCACGCAATACACGCGTGTATGAGGATTTGTCATTTTACGGAAGTTTCGCGATCTTGTTTGGACCAAAATTTATAAATATGAGAGTTCAAAAACTACAGAAACAGCAACCTTTTTTTCAATTTTTTAGAGAGTTAGTATTTTTCTTATTGAGGCAGACGTAATACCCATATAAAATTCTTCCAATAACTCAAAATCATCAATATTATCATTTCTACTATTATTAATTATTAATCAATCAGAATAAGTAAAATAAACTACCATAGCAATTCAAAAAACCTTGCAAAAGTTTATTCAACTTCTAATATACATACAAAATCTTTAAATATGACACCTAATATTACCGACTCTATCTCAGCCGAAGAGGTTACCGATGGATCAATTACTAATGGATTTCATCAAACAGAAACATTTAACAATCACGAACAGTTTTCAAAGTATGGTTTTGGAACTAGAGCAATTCACGTAGGTCAAGAACCTGACCCACATACTGGGGCTGTGATTCCCGCCATTTCGCTATCGACAACTTTTAAACAGTCATCTATTGGGGTGCACAAGGTTGGTATTGTTTGCTGGTGTATTTCCTCTTGATCGATCATCAGATCAATTTATGATTAATTGTCCTTCTAAATTAAACCTGAACAGGGTTTTGAATATTCTCGATCCGATAATCCGACACGTCGATCATTCGAAGAAGCAGTTGCTGCTTTAGAAAAAGGAAAATATGGTCTTGCCTACTCGTCAGGATCTGCAGTCACCGCAACTATAGTTAGCACACTTGGCTTTGGCGGACACATTATATCAGTAAACGACGTGTACGGTGGCACGCATCGATATTTCACTAAAGTCGCAGTGAATCAAGGAATTGAAACGACATTTGTGGATTTAACCAATCCCAATAATATCATATCTGCATTCAGAGCAAATACAAAGGTGTGTATATAGAATTTATCGTGAATTACGTTAAATAATTGATTAATTTGAAATAATACTAATACTAATAATAATAATGATAATAAAGCTCGTATGGGTTGAAACACCAACAAATCCGACTCTTCGACTAACTGATATCCGAGAAATAGCACGGCTTGCTCATTTCCACGGTGCAATTCTAGTAGTCGACAACACCTTCATGAGTCCCTACTTTCAAAATCCACTAGAATTAGGCGCCGACATAGTAGTCCACTCAGTCACCAAATACATAAACGGTCACTCGGATGTAATAATGGGTATCGCGGTAACAAACAACCCCGAAATCAATGAAAGCTTACGATTTTATCAAAATTCAATCGGTGCCGTCCCGTCTGCATTCGATTCGTGGCTCGCGAATCGTGGTTTGAAAACATTACATATACGAATGCGACAACATCAAGAGAACGCGATGGCGGTCGCGCGGCTCTTGGAGAAATCGAATAAGGTTGAAAGTGTAATATATCCGGGTCTAGAAAGTCATCCACAACATACGTTAGCGAAGAAACAGGCAAAAGGATTTGGTGGGATGGTTAGTTTTCGGATTAAGGGCGGATTTGATAGTGCAAATAAGTTCTTGCAGAGTTTAAAGTTGTTCACGTTGGCTGAGTCATTGGTGAGTTTTTTATTTGTACTGTGCATTGGATAATTATTAAGACTATATATTCATTTTTATTGTTCTATTTTATAGGGAGGAGTTGAAAGCTTGGCAGAACATCCTGCGCGTATGACACACGCTTCCGTATCAGAAGAAATTAGGAGAGCTCTGGGTGTGACAGACAATCTCGTACGATTATCTGTTGGTATAGAAGATAAAGAAGATCTGGTAAGTTTTCGTTTATCTATTCATTTCTCTTTTTCGTACTTTGTGAAGACGAGTACTAAGCTTTCGTTTCTTTTTCTTTACAAACAGTTACTGGACATTCAACAAGCACTAGATGCTGCTGTACATTAAATAAAATACAAGCTTATTTCTTAATCTAATTCGTCCGTCACTCATTTATTTCTCCTCTGTGTATATATATATTTATGAAGAACTATTTATATATTTATTTACATAGAGAATTTTAATAATTATTACTCATAATAACTGAATAGACTACTACATCACATAATATTTTCTTTAGTATTACCAAACAGACACGTGCTGGAGCGAATTCAAAGCTGAATCCGAATCCGAACTTTAATTCAAACCAATAATTTATACTCATAATTCACTACTTGTAAAAAATACCAACTGTAAAGTGAACGGCAAAAATTTTCTGAATAAAAGGATCGATCGTTTAATCTTATGTTTACACATGTATGTATCGTGTTATCTGTAGTGGAAAGTACCCAAAATCAAATAAGAGTAAACAGTACTTGTTTGAAATTTTTTTGTGTTAATATTTACAAATTTTCTTTAGAACAATAAAATCCTATTATTATATTAAAATTGATAAAAAAAACCCCCTATATATTCAATAATAAGCAGAAAAGGATAAAATACGGAAATGAGTAACAAAAATTTGATTATAGGAATTAAAAAAAGCTAATATTTTCTCTTCAATAAAACCAGTAATGATTAAAATTTAAGTCTTTTGCTACCCCGTAAAGCAGTAGATTAATTATTTGAAGATATAAGCATTCGGATTGAAGTTACAATTATTGACCAAGACACAGACGCCATCTTGGAACCCATTCCAGTCGATGTCATCGTCCTTAATGAATGGATATTCGTTTTTGATGAATTGGTTTCTGTTTTGGGAAGTAATATATAATGGATTGAGGATTTGAGAAACATCATTTTCTTGTTTAATTTTTTGATGTCTGAATCCAGTGAAATTTTTATATTTAGTAAACGGGCCAATGGTTTCCGAAGAGTCACCAAGTTGAAGGCGTGCATCCAAGTCAAATTCGTTATTGACGGTTGGGTTTACAATATCAAATGAGTCCGAGAAATTTTCGTTATCAATAAAAGGATTAACAATCTCGGATGTGTTTTCCTCTTTTTTCATGTTATAAAAAAAGTTTTCATCGTCGGATGCGTCGTCTGATGTATTATTAATCGGATTATTGAACCCAGAATTATTTTCATAATCGTATAATAGATCAACGTGTTTACGCTTGTTGATTGGATTAATGACTTTAGTCGTTGTGTTTTCGCCTTTAGTGATGTGCCTTTTGATTTTAGTGAATTGCCTTTTAATAGCTCGCCTTTTGCCTTTAGTAGTTCGCCTTTTGACTTCGACCATTCCTTCTTCCTTAAGGAGTGGATTCCTGACTTCGGAGTCTTTGATGATTGGTTTGATATCAACGTCATCTCGAGAAGGAACGAGCTGATCAGACTGTTCAAGAGTAGTTTCTTTGATAATCTCTTGAAATCGACAATTTTCATGATTTTCCCTCTTGATATTATGAAAAGTTTCGGCAGAGTTTTCATCTTTTGTTTGCATCAAAGAAATATCAGATTCGATATCTTCATTCTTGATAAAAGGCACAAAGTTATTATCAGCATCTTCAATTTTGAGGTTAGTTTCATCATCAATCACAATTTTTTTGTCGAATTTTAAACCATCGCCTAAAAAGTGTCTAACACTTTTAAAACCTTTTCTCAAGGCAATGCTTTTAAGTAAACCTGTTGGTTGCAATCCTTTCTTTCGTCGACAGAACGAACAGTTACAGATGTCACGACATTTGGGACATATCCATTCACCGGTCCTACGAGCCTCCTCCAAATTTTCACCATATCTTCCCACCAAACACCTTTCATCAAGCATCACACGACACATCTGACCTTCCTCCAATTCATTGGTGCATCGGATTTTTTCTTCAATGGTTTTTTGCCGACACTGATGACATGTAGTCCCAAGTTCAGAATCGTAGATTCTACCCCCTTGTATACGTCTACCTGGGTTTGTACGTCTACCAACACCACCACCACCACTGCTCTTCTTTCGATCTGTGAATATTGGACTAGTCGCATCACTATATGAGACAAGAGGAGATTTTTGTCCCAAAAAACGCGTACTTCGACGCTTGGGCGCAGGCTTGTATTCGTCGTCCGAGTTTTCAAGTTTTATTTTTTTCGTTTTTATTTGTTTCTTTTGTTGTGGTCGTTCGAAAAGACCGTGTTGGATATTTAGTCGCGCTAGAAGTGCCTTGTTTTCGGCAATACGTCGTTGACGTTCTTTTTCATAGTCTTCACCAATGAGAAAATCCATTTTTTTTCTTTTTTTAGTTTTTAACGCGTAGTAGAAAAAAGATAACGTAGACGAAAATCTAAATTTTTATGCACATCACGATAAATTTAGCATTATTCTACAGAAATCATATCGATATCCATTAAATTAAATTAAATTGGTAACAAATGAAATGATTATATTCTACAATTAATAAATAATGCGAATTTCTATACATATGATCAACCATTTTCACCAGAACGCACACCATCCTATATAACATTGGCACAGATTCTCGATCGAAACTGCTTGTTGTATTAGCTTATCGACTTGCGAAGGTACATCAAGAGTTTGGTTCTCGTTAAAGTCCTTGCCTAAATTATAAATATGAGAATTCGATGAATATACAAGATTGATTGATTGTAAACTAATAAAAGCTGGTGATTACTAACCAGTCAATTTATTGGATATACGATGTATAATATCGCGTGCTCGACGATTTGTTGATAATGCGTTTCCTGGATTTTCCCCTTCTAAATATATAAGAATGAAAGATTTATTAGCAACTATTATCTTATAAAAATATATTCTTTTGCTTATTTTATACCTAATCGCGGACTTGGTGCTGCCATGATCCTCCAATTAATCAGAGGATCATGAACAAATGCTTCTAAGACGGCCATGAGACTTTCTTTGTTGTTTCGTAATACACTCATTACTGCCTCACAAGTAGTACGGAAATTGCCTTCAATCCCGCTCACCTCCATTGCGGTTACAAGCATTCTTGTTAGCCGGAACGGAATTTTTTCCGGGTATTTTTCACGCGTCATGGCAACCTAACGTTACACACGAAAAAGCAGTATCGAATGAATAAATATTAGGTTAATTGAAATTATTTTATTAAAAGAACAAACCTCAAAGCAATCGCCAAAATCGATGTGAACTATCTTCCCAGTAAACCGATCGAGCATGATATTAGAAGGATGCCTGTCGCCTAATCCTAGAATATAGCCGACCATGGACATAACCGCCAAAGAACGCGTATAATTCGTCCTTCGCTCTAGCCATGCTTCGGAATTTTTACTTTTCAACCATAATACTTTGTATAAATCTTGACCGGTCGTGTTATTTAAAGCATATTCGAACACTTCAACCTTCTGCATTATGGAAAGTTGGTCGTAATCAGGCGCCATCTAAATCAAGAAAAAGACACAAATAAATAAACTATATTTTGTCATGCAAACTCTCAATTCACAATTAACTTTATTAATAAAAAATGATTTACCTGTAACATGAGTCGATGTTCAATATTAAGCAATATCTTCTTACTCTCCCGATAATCTCTAATAAGAGAATGTAAAGTATCACAGTTGGGAACCCATCCGAGCAATCCAATATTGGGGGTCAGCGGAGTGACTGTGTAACGTTGTATGTTTAGATGTCTCTTGAATGTCTCAGGATCGATTGATAATAATGTATTTACGAGTCCAAATAATTGCATCACACGCTCATCTTGACGTAAATCTTCATGCCCTTTTAACAGGAATTGATAGTCACGACCATCATTTCCTTTAAGGTGCAGTTTTCTCGGCCGTTGTTTAGATGATATAATATTAACAGTTGGGAAGAAGCTCTTTATTTTTATGACTGGTTCTCCACTACGATACGTTCCTGAAAAATAAAAAATCAAAATTTAATAAAGTAGAAAAAAATACTTTGATTAAATTACGCAATATTCATTAATAACCTGGAACCGCTAACTCCAAATCTCGCGCCGCTAAGAGCTTGGGAGACACATATTGTAACTCTAATGTAGTGATTGAAGCAACTTGTGTCGTGATCTTTTTAAACATATCATAATATAATTGCCACGCTTGCGTGAGGAAAGGAAGTTCAAGTGTCTGTTTATATTTTCGACACCATACGCCTGCCTCTTGAAGTTCCCTTCCGTATGCTTGAACGAAAGCAACTTCGCGTAGAGTTTCGGGTCCACGATCTAGTCGTTCTTGTAACTCGTCTAATATTACAAACATTGCCTCATAATTTCGTTCAACATAGTACAACCTTGAGGCTTCTTCTAATTGTTCCGCCCAGATTTCGTGCCATATTATGGCAACTCGGATGAGTTCTTTGCTTACAAGAAGTGCCTGTAATGTAGTAAGTAGAAAGAGTTTGAATATTATAAAAAAAGATAATTATGAAAGATAACGAGATAAAAAAGAAATGGGGAAATTACTTGTTCTACGAGGACTGCACTATGTGCACGCAATTTATCCATCACTGCTTCTGCTGCTTTTTGTCGATAATGACTCTGAGATTTCGAGGCGACAGTGAGTGGATATATAAGTGCTTGAGGGTGTTCTTTACCCACTTCCGCCAAAAGTTGATGAATTAATTTTCGCACGTTAGGATTTTGGGCATGTATGCGTGCTATCAGCTAATAATTGATGATTATAAGAAATAGTTTTCGAATTTTATAGAATAAGAATGATCAGAAAAATAAATATAATTTACTTGTGGTATAACCTCAAGCCACGTGTCAATATTCACGCTATTGAAACCTTCATTCAGCGCAGCACTAACGTCAGGTTGATATCCATATTTAAACCATAATGTGAGAAGTCGTAAAGTATCTTGTAAACAATTGCCACGAGATAGAGCAATTGATTGGAAGAAGCCTAATTATATGTGTGTGTAAATATTTTAAGCTCTAAATTAATAAATAAAATTCAAACCAATTTTGAAAAATTAAATAACAAACCTTGGACAGAAGGTACTACATATCGTAAGGCCTCTTGATGCATTGCTGTCATTGCTTCGTCCGGAATCTCAACGTTGTTTAAGTCCTCTATTGAATTTTCTGAATTGTGAAGTTTTTCAAAGTGTGACACTACTTCGAAATTTGCCAAAGCCCATGCGTGCCAGGCCTTGTACCAATCTTTGTCGTATTGAGTAGCAAGCAAATAGGATTGCAGTATATCGGGAATAGTGTCCTAAATAAGAAAAAACTGAATTAATAAATATTTCAATCTGAGCAACGAAAATAAATAATTTTCCATACTTCACTCCAATCCTCTTGCAAAAACATCTGCCACTCGCCTTTCTTTAAACAACATCGAGCAAGCAAGGAATTATTTCCTCGCATTTCACTTGACATTCGCCCCGTAAATTCCCGAAGATGAGATAGTGCATCAACGCGACTTCCACTTGCCCACATCCATTTTAGATGAGCGTACACAACTTGTGGTGCAGCTCGTGCAAGTATAGACGGATGAACAGTGGCTATTTTCTGCTCGCCTACTAGCAATTGCTTTAAATTTTTTTCTGCTAGCTCGAGGCGATTACTTTTTCGGCATAGGTTTGCAAATTTTATCCACATTTCCATATTTTCTTTTGGACTGATTACTAAGGTACGGACTTTGAGGATTCTTTGCCATACTTCTACATTTCGTTGACATCCTTTTAAACGCTTCATCCATGTTTTTCGTATTGTTGCTTGTCTATCTGGTTGATCAGCAAATTGTTTGTATGTTATAATTTCTTCTAATTCAGCAAGCATTTGGACACGAACTACAACATTATATGCGCGATTATAACTTTCGCCAACTAATGCTGTCAATTCTGTATCTAACAAATCTCTAGTTTTATCGATATGTCGGACTGCATCTCCATACTGATTCTTGTGTAAGGATAAGATTGCTTGGAAAAAGGTACGATCTGGAGATTCTTGTTTCATCGTGGAGATATAGTCATCCATTGATCCCCATTGTCCTAAAGCCCATGCACCTGCAGCAGCTAATCCGGCGATTTGTTTTCTCATTGGCGCAGAAGCCTCAGTCCATTTTTCTTGAGCTAACGAAGAAAGACCTTCCCAATCACCAAGAGCATTCATACATCGCATAACGCCCATAGTTGCCTCGAAATCATTAGGGTCTTCGATTCTCTTTCTCTCATAGGCTGCTAGAGCATCATCCCATCGGTTTAACTTTTCATACCAGTTTTCTTTTAATTGTAGATCTTGAAGATTTGGATTCTGTTGAGCATGCGTCAATATACCGATAGCTGCATCCGGTAATTGTAATTGATTGTTAATTTGGATTAGTTTTTCTATTGTTTCAGTCGAAGGTTCAGCGAGAAATTGGAGTTCTTTGTAATGGAGTGCTTTTGCATAAGCGTGACAATTTTCGGCATAAGAGCCTAACATTGGAATGTCAATGGGGAGAGATTTATCATAATGTTCCATAAACTCGGCTAAATTAAGTATCGTCGAAACAATCTCAGGCGGAATATTTGGTGACCTCAACGCAGAAATAAGGCATTGCACCAACTCATCTTTGTATTGATAATAAAGCTCTGACCAACAAGATATGAATCCAGCATTAAATAGTTCACGTGCCAAGGGATGATAGACTCCAGCCAAACTTGCGCATGCTCTTAGTGCATGTGATGGTGATTCTTTAAGTAACTCAACGCTTAATCGACGAATCCATTCGGACCAATCATCGCGGGTTGATCTTTGCGAACACTCCCATGCATTTTTGAGATGTTGCTGATTGACTGGAAGTTTTTTGGCACTTGCTTCAGCTGCAGGAGTCTCTTCTGCCTTTGATTCATTGTATCGTTCCTCTGATCCGAACTCTTGGGGTAACGCCTCTCCTTTTAATAATTTCGAAACTAAGATTTCGTAAACTTGGTGTTGAATTCGATGCTTTTGTAGTACTTTATTGATCATTGGAATGAATATCGCATAGTCCGAGCCAAGTTGATAGACGAGATCACAAAGTGTATCCATCGCAGCCATTCTCAATTCATACACTGGCACAGCAAGGACTCGAGCAAGAGGATGTATAATTCTTGATGCATGATCCGAGAAATTCACTTTTTTTGATAATTGTCCAATTGTGACTATTGCTGATTTTCGCAAAGAAAGCAGAACTTCTTGCTTTTCAAAAAGTTTTACCACCATCGGAATGATTAAATGCATATATTCCTCAATATTAGTCCCAAAAACCACAAGCGCATGTAAAACTTTTTGTGTTGGTTGCCGTTTGTCGCTCTTATCTTCTTCAAAAATCTGCAGTAAATCAGACAAAAGTTTCGGCAGGTAATTTTTAAATTCGCCGTCTAGTGCACGAGCAATTTCCTCCACAAGATTGATGATCATTATTTGAATTGGTGCACTTGGATTCCAGTAACTTTTGACCAATTGAAAAATGTCTGTTAGGTAGTTTCGTATGTGTTGTTGAACTATTGAGACGAGAATGCTTAGTTGTTGAAAATAGAAATCAAGCATTCCATTTGGACATGTTCGCATTACACCCAAAAAGGCCGGTGTTATCTGTAGCAAGATGATATTACATTAGAATAATTTATAAAACAGCATTAGAAAACTATTAATGTGAAAAATGATTTCTTACTTGAGGTAAAAATGGAACGCATTTCAAGCCAAGCGTCTTGAAAATATACATGACAGCCGTAATTACCGCAGTATGATGAATGGCTAACGAAGGATCTCGTAGTATCCTCATCAACGCGTTTATTACGACCGTAGGATAATAATCTTCAGAAGATGGTCCCATTCCGATCATAAGCAGAGAAACATCTGAATTCGAAGATTTAGGATCAGACATTGCCTCGTCAGAAGAGACAATTGTTATCTATTCAAAATAAAGAAACTGTAAAAAAAATAACTTTATAACTATATATATTTCACGGCTAAAATAATCTACCTTGTGTCGGTAAGGATCTAATGCGCCAAGTATACCAACTAGTTTCACAGTCTCTCGTCTTATAGATGTAGAAGTCTCAGTTTGCAAAATGTTTATTAAAATATTGAGCAATTGAGGGTACTTCAAGTACGGTTCGATCACAAAGCCGGTATTGCTTGCAAGTTGCCCAAGAGTTTTTAATGCTGCATCCCTTTTTGTAATCGAGCCTTGATCCTGCAATGCATCGATAATCAGAGGCATTAAATCATCCAAGAAAGGAATCAGATCTTCTCCTCCAACTCGTGCTAGTTCACCAAGAGCTGCCAATACACTAGAAGCGACTGCTGGGCTTGGATCTCGTGATTTCGGTAACAGTGCTGTGAGAATTGATTCGACATAAGGCTTGATTAACTTTTGTGATGCTGAAACTAATAAACTTAATAATCGTGCACTTTCTTCCTTTTTTCGACTAAAAAATACAGATAATTATTAGAATTGATACGATAATAAAACAATAAAAATCATTGGCATACCTCACTGATGAATACTCGAGTTCTGTTAAAAGTTGAATTAATGTTTTTCTCAAAGAAGGCATCACATATGCTGGATTATGTGCTGCCAATCGACCAATAATAGATATTGTGATCTCACGTATAACAAAAACTTCGTCATTCATTGCAATAAATAAAGAACGAATATTTTCGGCTTGTGCTAGATGTCGGTCAAATTTTTTATTGAGGTTCGACAAGACTGTCTCTCGTATTGATGCATCTGAAAAATTAAAATGGACGTTAGAAGTATTACCAGAACAACTTTAACATATATGATTCAAATATCAGCAGGATTACTTTACCTGGATCAGCAACACCGACTGCTAAAAGCTTTTCAAGTACTTCGTTGACCACTTGTATAGAGTGACTACTGATTTGGTCCAGAATTGGATCACGTGCGAATAGTTGGCAACATGTAAATGCTGCAGCTTTTCGTACTTCGACATTATCAGTTTCCAGATAGCGCACTACACAATCCTTTACAAATTCGTTCAAAGTGTGATCTAAGAAATATATTAAAGTCAAAAAAATGAACATTATATTAATTAAAATTTAACTTTAATGAAATAAAATAATTAATACATACTTTCGAAATTGAAACTTCCCAAAGTATTCAGAGCCAATGTTATAGTCTCAATATCTTTCATCTCGGATATTTGGGCGACATAATGTCTCCTAATATCGTTTGCATCAGAAGGAGAAGTTCCGGGTAGACGGAAATGTTGTCCACTTAGTGTCATCGATAGCATATCCAGCAAACGATCTATAATGCAAAATAAAACTTTAATTTGAATATTATAGTGTAGAATAAAAAAAACAATTAAATTTCTTATTACCTTGAATTGTTTTTAATAAAGGTGGAATGTAAGAAGCTAATTCCATTAATGCAGCTCGGAGTGGCTCGCTCAGTCCGCAAGCAAACATCAAATCAAGTAATTCGTGCATATGTTTTGTGAGAGCTTGTCCGACTGCTCTGGCTAACATTCCTATGCACTGAAATATCGGTGCTTCATTTCCAACCCGATTTCTCCTATAATTAAAATAGTTATTTAATAAAATTCACGATGAAACAACAATTATTTCATAAAATTATAAAAATACCCTTTTAACGAGAGTCCTTCTTTCACATTACTCAATATAGAGTCGAGATAAGGTCCCATATTACTGCCAACAGCACACGCGACCTGACCAATTGCAGTAAAGGCTAATAAAATATTGCAAAGCTAATTAAAAATTTATTCTCTATAAAACACAAAGAATAATAACGATTTCTTACATATTGAGCGGTCTCGATCCCTTTTTAATTGGTTAAGTAGATGTGCCATACATTTTTGGAGATAAGTTGCTATGAACTCTGATGAATTGAAGTTGGCAAGATCCGGTATTAAGGAGATGACTGTGCGCCGTATAAGCCCATCTCGATTGTCTTTAAGCCGCAGAACAGAATCGCATACGACTTTATATTTTTCTGCTATATACTATAATTAAATTCATTAGACAATTGGCGAAAAGAACTAAAAAATCAAGTAAATTAATATAATTTTGTCTTCTTACTGGTTTTGCATGTTGTAGTAATTCACGATAGACTAATAGCGACCCATGAATTTGGTCAATGTTGTTTGATTTTAGTCCTTTGAAAGCTTCATCATATATCTTTCGATACCATTCCATCCTCATACTGCTTTCTCGTTCATATATAATTTGTAAGCAAGCACTCAAGGCTTCTGCAGAGGCTTCTCTTATAACCACTTTTTGGTCGCGAAGACCAATCCATATCAGATCAAGGATCTGTGGTACATGAGTATATATTAAGGTGGGCGCATTTCGAGCCAATTCTCGTAATACAAGTGCAGCTGCATAGCGTCTTGATTCGTGTCTATCTCCTTTTATAATTAAAGAATGACAAATTTTAGCATTGTTTTTGAATTTTTGACTTAATCGTAATTAATTTATTAAAATGACCTTGTAAGAATTCTAATGCAGAATTTACTTCGTTTTGTACAAATAATGCTGTAACAGCACCGCCTGGAACTGCCAATCGACCTGTAGTAATAAAAATCAATTTAAGAAATTAATAATATTTACCAATTTCACGATGAAATAATAGACCACCTCACCCAATGCCCGTGCTGCCAATACCATAATTTGAGCATCAGCGCCTGGCAATACCATTTTCAAGTAATTTGTGAAGCGTGCTAGAGTTGTGGTTTCAATATTGTTGTTGATGAGTGCATCTACAATTTTTAAGAAAAAATAGAAATTAAAATTCAAATCTAGTAAAAATATAATAAGCAAAAACGTTCCTTTCTATCAATCTTTGATTTAAGTAAGACTTCCATACCGATAGCGAGGATTCCACCAATCTTATCAGGTACATCTCCTTGCATCATTTCAAATATTCGTTTGTTAGCTTCGTTCAAAACATTTGGCTGACCTTCGACCTGATTTACAGAAATAACAAGTAAATATAATTATCTAGCCACGCATTTTCAGAAAACAAAAACAATGATTTTTTTTGTATATTATTTTTCTTTGAAGACTAATGTTAAATTAAGTACTCGTAAAGAGCGAAAATCCAAGTATTATAAGGATTCTTACCACTACTTTTAGATCGTTGGCAGCTTTTTTCTGTATTAAGGGGTCTCTTTATGAATGCATAATGTTCAAATATTAGATTTACAGTAAGATGCAATATAAGTAATTCACTTTAATTTTACTTGTTCTTGAGTCGTGCTGTGATTTCGTCCATGTTTTAAAGAAATTATTTAGTGAGATCGTGAAGTTTCAATAAAATTTTGGTTACATTTAGATGATGATCTGATCAATATTTGCAGACCATTTTATTATAGATGGATTTTGATTTTATACATAGAAATAACTATTTTTGAAAAATCAACACATGATTTTTTTATAAAGAAATTGTTCAATTAAGAAAAACGAGATTATCATCAATTCATATAATAAATTTTACCACCATTTAGTTTGGTTATCTTGACCGAATTTTTTATCCTGTTGAGATCCACCAGCTCCTCTATTTTGACTGTTAGGTCCAGCGAAACCATCACTTTGATCGTCATTTTCATTTTTTTGTAAGAATTGAAGTTCCTGGTTTTTACCCCAAACTGCTTTTGGTTGATTAGTTCGACCACGTGGAGTCATGTCATAGTCTTGAGAAGTTTGACTTCGAGTGCTTGTTCGAGCATCCCATGGATCTTGAGTTGTAGCTGGACCTGAAGAAGTATTTGTATCCCATGTAGGACGGCCATCCCAAGAACCTTGATTGGAAGTTGTATTTGGTACCTTACTATCCCATGTCGGACGGCCATCCCAAGAACCTTGATTGGAAGTTGTATTTGGTACCTTACTATCCCATGTAGGACGGCCATCCCAAGAACCTTGATTGGAAGTTGTATTTGGTACCTTACTATCCCATGTAGGTTGGGAATTCCGAGTATCTTGGTTATTTGCCGATGTATTAGGAAGATTTACAACAGGTCGCGAACCCCGTGGATTTTGGTTGTTAGGTCGGTTTTCCCGCGAATCAATAGCCGGCGGATCAGCACGACTATTATTGTTTTTCCATGGCATTTCTTCTTGTTGAGCTTCTTTGCGTTTATTATTCCATGAGGAGGCTGTTGTAGAGTGATTGTTGTTCCATGGCATTGATTCAGATTGCTGGCTCTGTTCAGCTGGTTTTTGACTATTATTCTTCTTCCACGGTAATTCGTCTGGTTCAGATTTTTTATCTGCAACTTTCCGTGAAGGAGTTTGGTTCTGGTTGTTATAATCCCACGAAGTCGGGGGTGCTGGTAGACTTGAAGTCTGATTATTCCGAGTCGAGGGTTTTTGTGCAGTGGAGATGTTATTGTTGTTATCCCAGGATGGGGCACCTTGATGAGTTGGAGGAGTTTGATGATCATTATTATCCCAAGACGAAATGCTTGGTTTTGGTGAAGTGATATTATTATCCCAGGATGAGACTTGACGACTTGGAGTTTGACTGGAAGGGGAATCATTACGTTTATCCCAGGAAGAGATACCTTGATGACTTGGATTATTATTATTATCCCAGGATGAGAAACCTTGTTTAGAAGGAGAAGCACCTCTCTTGGCTGAAAAATTATTATTGTTATCCCAGGAAGGAACACCTTGACGACTTGGTGGTGCCTGATTATTATTATCCCAGGACGGGAAATCTTGATTAGAAGAGGAAGAAGTACCTCTCTTTGTTGAAAAATTATTGTTGTTGTTCCACGGCACATTATTCGGATCCCAAGTACCAGAAAAAGTGTCTTTATAGCCCGTACCGAAATCGTTATATGAATCACCGCCGCTAGCACCATAAGAGTCTCCGTAGTTATTTTGTTTTCCCCCGTCAGAAGTACATTCTCGAGCAAAATGGCCTAACAATGGTTATATTAATTAATAGAATCAAATTTCACAAACATAAAGACCTGGTAAAATGTTTACCTTCTTGACCGCATTTGTTACAGGTTAAAAGTCTTTGTTTCTTTGGTTCAGTACAATCGCGAGACATGTGTCCTTCGCCGCCACAATTATGGCTTTTTAGAAAACAAAGATCTATAAGTATGTATTTACACATTGTTTAAGAAAATTTTTTGGCGTATACCATGCAAATCCAGCACCACTGTTATTTCGTGCTATTTATATAAATAAAATTTTTAATAAAACCATTCGGATAATTTACTTAAAATTTTAAATCAATAAATAAATTAATATTACTCTCACTCTCGGTACAATCTCTTGAAATATGGTCAGCAGATCCGCATTTGAAGCTATAAGATTAATGAAGATGAGAAAATTAAAAGAAATTAATTTTTTCAGTTATTGTTTTTACTCACCAATTACGATCGCCACGTCCTCCTCGTGCTATTTTTTGATAAATACATTGAAATTAATAAACGCAGTTTTCGTCCGAATTATGCATGGAGAAAATATTATTATTCATCTTACGTTCAACATTAAGATCTTTTAATTCTTCGTTGCAATCTCTAGTAGCGTGTAGCTCTGATCTACAGTTTTGACAGCTCATAGGGGGCTTCTTTTCAATTTCTAAAGAATAAGTAAAAATATAAAATTATTAACAAAAACCAAAAACAAATAGAAACTGAAGAATATTGAATTACCCTTCTTGGGCTCTTGACAATCTCTATTGACAAAAAAAATTTATTAAATGGATGTTCAGCCAAAGAAAACGTCAATACGTATTGGTATTTGTATTTGTATTTACTTTGTAAGATGACCTTTCTGCTTGCAATTGAAACATATTGGTTCATGACAATCTCGCATAAACCCGGAATCTGCTAGCCATTTTAAATTCTCTTCTTGCGAAGAAGGAAGAGTACCGGCCGTTTTACGAACTCGCGAAATATCTCCTATTATAAGAGTCGCCACATACATTTTGCCGGTGTTTCCTTGCAGATCGATTAAAACTTTATCCAAAGGAATTTCCCGCCCCTATTATAGAAAAATATAAATTATTTTTTGACAAGTGTGAAAGAAAATTGAATTTATTTAATAAATTTTCGATTTAGTTTACCAAAGCTACAATTCTACCTCGACAATCGGTTTGCCTCAATTTCGTTTCGATGCTTTGGAAGGTTTGGTCTGAAGATGATTTTGCATATTCTTCAAAAGCCTCTCTGAAGTCATCGATGTCATTTTCGCGACAGGCTTGTAATATATTTTGCCAGGCGGCTTCTGGCGAAAGTGTAGCTGGGATAGGATTTGTCCCTAAAAAATAATAATATCTAGTCATTATTTAAAGAAACGAAAAATTAAATTAATGAAAAAATAATTACAAGGACTCAATGATGGTCTAGTTCGTGGCTTGAAGCTGCCTTCTTCGCCGGGTTGATATTCTGGACAATCTTTCGATATATGGCCCGGCTTTTGACATCGATAACTAATAATAGACATTATAGATTAGAATTAAATGTGCAAACAAAAAATCGCAAATTGAGATAAATACCATACACCGCCTCGGTAACCTCCAGAACTACCTTCTTGCCAATTTGGTTTATTGGTACATTCGCGTGCAAAATGTCCTACATTTTAATTTTAGCAATATCATTTTTTATTGCTCAATAATAATTAATCAATCGGAGACTTTGTAAAGAGTTATATTTTTACCTTCTTCCCCACATTTATGACAAGCTCCACCACCTTTTTTCTTGTTAGGACATTCACGGGCGAAGTGACCTATTGAAAAAATTAATTAAAAAAAAAAAACCATCTTTTCATAATTAATTGTTGTACTTGCCTTCTTCACCGCAATTGTGACAAGCTCGGCCTCCTCCAAAACTAGCACCACCACCACCGCCAGCTGAATAAGAATTGCTATAATTATCATTAGCATTGAAACCATTTCCGCCGTAATTTCCACCATAATTATTATTGTCCTTTGAAAAATCAGAACCACCTTTTTGATTTAACTGAGCCTCGAAGCTAGCAGCCTGTTTCGTCCAGTCGTTGTCACTGCTAACTTGAGGAGCTCCCCAACCAAATCCAGAAACTTTATTGGTATCATTTGTTTGATTATCTTTTTTTTTGAGCTGAGCTTCAAATGTGGCGGCCTGTTTCGTCCAATTATCACCGCCGCTCTCAATTGCTGGAATAGCATCCCAATTAGAATCGGATATTTGATTTGAAGGAGCTTTCTGAGGCCAGTTTTTATCGTTATTAAAAGATGCTGACGACATATCTGGTTTAGATCCCGAACCAAATTCGTTATCTTTATCAATCGGTGCTGGCGAAACATCTGGTTTAGATCCCCAACCAAATCCATTATCTTTATTAATCGATGCTGACGACACATCTGGTTTAGATCTCCAACCAAATCCGTCATCTTTATTAATCGATGCTGACGATACATCTGGTTTAGATCCCCAACCAAATCCGTCATCTTTATTAACCGGTGCTGACGACACATCTGGTTTAGATCCCCAACCAAATCCATTATCTTTATTAACCGGTGCTGACGATACATCTGGTTTAGATCCCCAACCAAAATCATCTTTATTAACTGGTGCTGACGATACATCTGGTTTAGATCCCCGACCAAATCCATTATCTTTATTAACCGGTGCTGACAACACAGCTGGTTTAGCTCCCCAACCAAAATCATCTTTATTGACCGGTGCTGACGACACATCTGGTTTAGATCCCCGACCAAAGCCATTATCTTTATTAACCGGTGTTGACAACACATCTGGTTTAGATCCCCAACCAAATCCATTATCTTTATCAACCGGTGCTGACGACACATCTGGTTTAGATCCCCAACCAAAATCATCTTTATTGACCGGTGCTGACGACACATCTGGTTTAGATCCCCGACCAAAGCCATTATCTT